GAGCTCTGTGGCCACCTTGGGGTGGTCTGACAGGATAGAAGAGGGCAGGAAGGTGAGGCAGCTTTCACCTCTCCTCACCTGTTCTCCTGGTCCTTGCTGCTCTACAGAAAGGGTTTGACGTGTTCAATGCACTGGATCTCATGGAGAACAAAACCTTCTTGGAGAAGCTGAAGTTCGGCATAGGGGATGGCAACCTGCAGTATTACCTTTACAACTGGAAGTGCCCCAGCATGGGGGCGGAGAAGGTACGTAAGCGCCTGGGCCTGCCTGGCCGGGGAGCCGGTGGAGCAAAGGCAGGGCCTGGTCTGGGATCCGGCCTCAGTCTGGGCCTTGTTAACGGGCGTTTGGCCCCTGAAAAGCCCCTTTCCCCAAATGGCCAGCCTGGGGGAGGGGGTGGCAGAGGGTTGGGCTCCAGAGCCATAGAAGCAGGAAGGTCGTCTCCAGCGTCTCTTCCCACCGGGAGTCACTTCCGCAGGCTGGGGCAGGGCACTGGGGCTGTCTCAGCGATGAGCTGCCCACTGTTAGCCAGGAAGTCTGGAGTGTGAGGATTGAGGATTTTCCCTCTGCTGCGCTGCTGCCCTCGTCCCAGCCCTCCTTCCACCCCCCTCAGCCCAGGACCATGGTGTGGTCAGCGGTTAGCAAAATGAGTGCTGGACAGAGGCCCACTGACCGGTGCAGCTGCTCTCCTGAAGGAGTGGTCGCCGTATAGGCTGAGCGTGAGCCTCGGCTCCCACAGCCAGCACTGGGCTCAGCCATTGGCACTTCGGGCCGGTCGGTCGGTCGGTCGGGAAGTGGGAGAGGCTTCAAACAACTGTCAACTCAACCCTGCCTCTCCGATTGGCTCTCCTAGGTTGGGCTGGTGTTACAGTAACCAGGTGCCAGTGAGATTCTGGATAAAACCACTGAGAATTCAAACCAGGAAATGGAACCCCACCACTTGTTGGTCCAATGTTCACAAACGTGAGAATCCCTGGCAAAGGGAACAGAAGTGAACCGGCTTAACCAAACCGCCGCTGAACTTGACAATGGTTTTGCGATGGCGTAGGCTGCGTGATGTCACCTCTGGCCGTGTCTCTGGTCTCCCTGTTTTCCAGTTAATCACATCCTTATGCAGCCGTGATCAAGGGAATGTAACTGCTGAAAACTAAGCTCGTGATTGGCATATTATGGAGTTAACGGGTGAATAATAAAAGTATATATTATATATATATATAAATATTTTAAATATCTTTCATGTTCCAAATGTACAAGGATGTCCGGTCTCTAGTGAAAAGCTGAATCCAGATCATTCCTGAAAATTAGGCTCCAGGACAGTGCCAGGCACACACAGTGCCACAGTGATGGTTCTCTTCTGGAAGCAGGCATTGGCTGTTCTTGGGGGAGCAGGAGAAAGGATGTGGGCAAGTCTGTCCAGTTCCCCTTCTGAACTGGCTGGAACGATTGGCTTCGAGAAGGCAGAGTAAGGTGGCGGGGCTGTGCCAAGCTTTGGGGAGGGCGTAGGTCTCAGACTGCAGGTGGAGCCCTCGGTGGAGCCAGTCCTACTCGGAGGCTTCTCTGCATTCAGAAACAGTGATGCTCTGTGGAAGCAGGTTCATTAAATGGAGAAGGATCTCCATCCGCTTGGCCTGCCCCCTGTTGGAAGTCATCCTGCCAACTCTTTAGCCAGCTATTGCCAATCTTATAGTCTTGAGTCCCCCATGAGATTGTTTTTCCATTTCAGGGGTGACTGGCAGTTTGAAGGGGACCTCTGACCTCCTTGTAGCATTTGGGACTTTGTGGAGACCATGTCAGTGCAAGGTCTGGTTAGCTCGTCTTCGAGCGAAGAGCCAGCACCCTCGCCCCCAGGGTGGCTGGGCAGGGACGGTGTGGGTTCCCAGGCCCCTGGCCTGTGCCTTCCAACCCTTTGACACCTCTTGTGCTCCTTCCCAAGACGGCCTGCAAGAATGGCAAGGAGTGGTGGTTAGACGCCAATCTGAACTTAACAGAAGTGATTTCATGTTGCCATTGTCCGAGTGGCTTCACCGACGATGTTCGGTGGATTTTGTGGCGGCGATGGTTATTGATGCTGCCAGTTTCCCACAGTAGGGGGACCTCCGGTCACTGTTCGGGCCGGACTTCCTCTTCCTCACTTGTGCCCAGCCAACTGGCTTAGGGAGGATTTGCTGTGGAATTGTCAGCAACCCACATCCAGGTTTGTATGTAAGTAACTTTTGTTCTAGGAGAAAGGAAGTGGGTGGATAATGTGGTGGGAGGGTTTCCTGGCTGCTTTCCCCCCCTCGGCTACTTGCAGGGGGAAGGAAGTCTTAGCCAGGAGGCAGACTGTCTAGTCTTACCAACTGCAGCCATGCTCTGCAGGCTGGCAGAGCTGTTTGAGGCTGAGGGTTTTGGTGAGGTTGGCCAGGTTCATTCTGCAGGCCCCGAAGCTGGAAGAAATGTGTGCTTGGCATCGGGGTGTGCCACCTGCTGCAATCTGCCTGCTCTCGGAAGACTGGATTGGGATTTCATCGGGCCTCTGGGGGCCTCCCTTCTCCTGTTGTCCCTGCCCTGCAACCTGCAGGCACCAAGGATCATGGCTGACCTTTGACTCCTTGACTCCGAGATACCCAGACCAAAGAAGCCGCTGTTCTCAGCAAGGTGTTCCCTGCATTCCGCAGACAGAGGAGTCAGAGGCGGCGGCTCGCCTTACAGCCTCTGAGACGTCAGGCACAGCCCCGAGGCCCAGGCAGCGGGCCCAGGGCAGCTCCTGAGATCGGAGAAGACGGTGCCCAGCTCTTTCCTACCTGGGGCAGGACCCGAAACTTGGAAACACTCCCTGTCTGGGCCAAGTCCTAGCCTGACTGCCTCCGAAATTGGGGTGCACAGCAGCTCCTGGGGTTTGCCTGGGGTGACCCAGGTCATGGAATGGAAACAGGCCTGGGCTCCTCTGGAAGAAACAGATCTCCGGAAAGGCCCCCGTGCCTCCCTCCACACCCACGTGGCCCTCGGACTCCACTGTCCTTCACGGTGGGGACCCTGCCCCACCCGCAGCACCACCACCAGGGCTTCGGGGACCGGCTCAGTGGCTGCAGCCCCTCCCAGAACCTCAGGTCAGAACCACCGTTTGGGATTCAAGGCCTCCCCTCAGGCGCTCTGCAGGATGGTGGCGCCGTGGCTGGTAGAACCAAACAAGGGAAGGACCTGGGACCTGCCTCTGGGGGTGACTGTCGTACCTGTGCCGCCTCTACTTGCTGACACTGGGCTTTCAGACACGCGTGTCTGTGTTTATCTCCTGCCTTTGGATTGACTGCATTAGATCCCTGACTCCCTGGCGAATCCCCATGGCCCCCGGCTGGGAGAGAGCTGGTCAGAAAAAGCCGCCCCGGTCTGGACGGAGGTCTGTATCGGGCTTGTTGCCCATACATGCCTGCATTCAAAGACGCTCATGTGTGGTTTGAAGGCCGGCCCACAGCGAGCCACTTCGACACGCAGGTCTGTGGAAAATGCCAGGCCTTTCCCGCCCCTCCCGTCTAACTGCCAAGCCCCTCACTTGCTGGTTCACTGAAGCTCCAGTGTGGGTGTCCCAGTTGTCTTTAGTTCGTTGCTCTAAGGTGACCAGCGTTTAACCAACCCTAGGGGTGTCCCAACGGCCTGGACAGCTTCGGGAAGCTGTAGTGTAGGAGGGCGAGGAGCGGTCAGACCAGGGGAGGCGCAGGTTTGTGCCTGGTCAGTGCCCACCTGCCCCCAACAGGCGGCCCCAGGCTTCGGTTTTGCCCTACTGCCAAGTGAAAGCGGGCCTGCGAACACTGCCCCCGGGAGGCTTTGTGGGACAATGTCATTGAATTAAATAAACAATACGGACTGGCTGCAGGTGCTGAGCCTGGGACAGGGCGGGGAAGCTTCACCTTTTTGTCCTGGCGTTGCGCAGGGAGAAATACCAAATGCATTGTTGCGCTTGATACATCTCACTTGTTTCTAATAAAGGAAGCAGCTGATTAAACCTCCCGCCCTCCTGGTTTTGCTGTGGACAGCAGGTGGCCGCGGACCCGATGGCCGCCCCGGCTGGGCTAGGTGCCCCCGAGCGGCAGCGCCCGCGGGAAAGGCTGCCCACAGCTCTGGGCAGCTTTTGAAGACTCATGGCAGACTGCCCCTTTCAGGGCGGACTTGGCGCCTTCCCGTCCTCTCAGGCGCCAGCGAGGAGCCAGCACTGACCCAGCCTCGCTCCCTGTAAGAGGAGCAGCTGGGCCTGTGCCACCAGCACCAGGCGCCGTGGCCGAGGAGCGGGGACCGCTGGGCCCCTCGTCTGGGTCAGCAGTGGCTCCTCTGATGGAGGGCGCAGGCACTGCCCTGCCACTCGGCCCGATGCCACATCTTTCCTTCTGGGCGGGGGGTCTGGGCCACCGGGGGTGTTTTTAACCCTACAGGTCACCAGGCCACCGCCCTGAGCCAGCTTCTGAGGGGCCTTCCCATCCCTGCTCTCTTCCTGTGCTTTCCACCCACTCCCCGACCCATGCTCCTTCTGGGCCCCCTTGGCTGCTTCCTCAACCCTTCCCAGGGACCCTGGCCCCTGAGCCGCCTCCAGGGACTGCTCCCAAGCTCTGCCCTTGCTCCACATTCACCCTAGAAGGCCACCTTCTGACAGGTTTGCTGTGGCCTCTGTCACCTGCTGCCTCTGCACACCCGCCTCGCCGGAGCAGCCGCTGCCTCCAGCCTTCATCTAAGTCTGGGTGCTGGTGGAAGGTGAGCACCAAGTCTGCGATTTGTCTACTGAGTAGACAGAGGCCCTGAACCCCGCTGAGCCTGGAAAGGGGGGGTCTCTCTGAGGCCCCTCAGAAGCTTATCCAGCTGCCTCCCCGGTCCGGGCCCCTCCGAGGCCGGTGGGCAGCTTGTGATGGTGTCCCCGCCCGCAGCCCCCCTGGCAGTGAGACAGACCAGGCCCTGCTGGGGGAGAGCCCACCGGACATGGGCCCCTCGGCCTCATGCTTGCGGTGGCGGTGATAAAGGCAGCTTGCTGCTTTATTCTGTAAAATAGTCTTGTTCTACTGCCCGCTCGGGGCTCTTCTATGAAACGAGCTAAAAACCTACTTCGCGGTCCCCAGGGCTCCAGCCTCGGCTCTCCCTGTTCAGCAAGGGAAGGAGCTCAGGCTCAAAAGCTGGAGAAGAGCCGGGAAACCCCGCGGAGGGAGTCGGGGCGGCCAGTGCCTGGTGGGGTGCGGCTGTGGCTGGACTCCTTTCGGGAGAGGCTGAGGGCCCATGTCCTGCTCCCCAGGCCTCCTGGCAGCAGCAGGCCCGCTCTTGATAAACACAATGGAAGGTGGCCCGGCCACAGTCCTCGGCCAGCTCAGGCGCCGGGAAAAGATGACCCCCTGTTCTCCAGGAGGCACTGAGGCGGCCTCCGCGCCAGGCTGGATGGCACACACTGCCCTCCGCTCCAGAGGTCTCACCACCGCGCGCAGTGTGTCCGCAGGGCTCAGTCGGGCCCTCGGGAGTGCTGGACTCGGATGTGGACGAAGATGGTGGCTGGTGACAGCGAGGCCCCGTCCTTGGAAAGCAGGTGGATGTGGCGGTACCCTGCGGGGAGGGCAGCCAGGCGTCAGATTGGCTGCCCATCACCCTGCCCACATCCCGTCTCGGGGGGCTGGGCCCCGCGCGGGCCTCCCTCAGGAAGGCGCCGAGGGACCCTCTCTCCCGTCCCATCCCCACCCACCTTGCTTCAGGCTGCTGAGAGGCAGTGTAAACTGGCCCACAAAGTCATTGGGGGACGTGGTGTCATAATCTTCTACCACAAACCGGACCAGCACCAGCTCTGGAGCCCGCAACTGGAACTGCAGGGTCTGCCCCCAGTGGGGGTTGAAGCCTAGGGCACAAACAGGCATGGTGGTCGGAGCCAGCTGGCCTCTGCCCTGCACCTCCCTGCACTCTGCCTCCCCCACCCCACCCCTCCACACACACACCCGCACCAGCAGGCCCACCCACCGTTGTTCAGCACGTAGTTGGTCTCCTTTCGAGCACAGTCCATGGGCACCCCGTGGATCTCAACACGCACCAGGGGGTCCACGATGGAGCTGGGCTTCTCAGCATTCAGCTTGGGCAGCTGCTGTGCTGTCAGCACCTGTGGGGGGTGAAGAGCTTCAGCCCGGCCCGCCCCGCAGTCCCCAGGCCTCGGCTCTCCCTCCGCTTCAGGCGGAGCCCTCGGACCAGCCGGCTCTGAGCCCAGGACGTGGCCCAGGCTGCTGACCTGGATGGTGAGAGTAGTTCTGGGGGGCCCAGGGCTCTCGGGGTCGAAGTCTGTGTGAGGCTGCCGCAGGCAGGCCGGCTTCAGGATGTAGCCGCACTGCCCGTTGATGAGGAAGCGCCCAGCATTGAGGTCCATCTCGTAGCCCGGCGTCTGGAAGTTCAGGGCCACTGCGGACACAGCGGGGTCAGCAGGGCTCTTAGTGGCCCTCTCTCCACCCTCGGTGTCAGGGGCCTCACTGCCTCCCGCCCCCCCTCCCAGCCCTGTAGGCACAGGACTAGCTCCTCACTAAGGGTCCAGATGTGGGTAGTGCTGCTCTGTACCCACCGTGACTTGGTGGGAAGGAATGTGATCTAGACTCTGTTGTCACCTTGCATCTTTTTTTTTTCTTTTTTAATTGATTTCAGAGAGGAAGGGAGAGGGTAAGAGAGAGGGAAACATCAATGATGAGAGAGAATCATTGATCGGCTGCCTCCTGCACGCCCCACACTGGGGATCGGGCCTGAAATCCAGCATGTGCTGACTGGGAGTCAATCCGTGAGTGACCTCTTGGTTCATAGGTCGACGCTCAACCACTGATATCTCTTGAGGCTGGAAGGTGGGGCTGTGGGGGCGTGCAGGAGGCAGCCGAATTAAGAGAGGCCTCCACCTGCAGGGCCAGGCCTGGGCCAGAGCAGAGCCCTGAGGTTTCTACACCTACACCCCTCCCCCCCCCCCCCCAAACCGCACTCCCCTCGGCGGGCTCAGCATGGAATTGCCAGGGGTGTGTGTCAAGGGGGCCCGTGGGGGTGGAGATTTCTAACTTCTACCGTCATAAAAAATGTGAGACTTTTACACTGTCAGAACAAATGAGCCGGCCAGTGTGGCTCAGCGGCTGAGTGTTGACCTAGGAGCCGGGAGGTCCCTGGTTTGGTTCCCTGTCAGGGCTCATGCCTGGATTGCTGGCTCCATCCCCAGGGTGGGGTGTGCAGGAGGCAGCTGATCAGATTCTCTCTCATCATTGATGTTTCTGTCTCTCTTTCCCTTCCTCTCTGAAACCAATAAAATACATTTTAAAAAAAGAATAAACAAGCCTGATTTGTTTTTCCTCACTCTGCTCAGATGTTTCTAATAAATATTATCACAAAACACAGTTTTCCACCCGGTCAGCTGTGTGGGCCCATCACTGCTGGGGCCTATGACGCCCAGAGGCCACCTCACCAAGCCCCCGGCCCACTCACCCAGCTGGCAGCCCGCGTTCCACATCTCCTGCGGGCTGTAGTTGGCCGAGTTCATCCGCAGCCCCAGGGGGTAGACCCGGGTCAGCTGCCGGGTGTTGTGGCTGACAAAGCTGTTCCCTGTGGGGAGGTGGGTGGTATGTGACAAGCGTCTGGTGGCAGGAGCTGTAACCCCAACTCCAGGGACAGGCTGGGAACAGAGGCTGGATGTCCATTCCCACTGCCCCTGCCCGGCGGCTCCTCTCTGACACAGTGGCTGTGGGAGCCTCAGGAGGAGGTGGCTGAAGTGCAGGGAGGGCAGGGACCGCTCCCACAGCCCGCACTGCATCCCAGCCCCAAACCCCACATTCCTGGCCCAGCACCTGGAACACCTGGCCCCAGGCTGACATCCTGTTTGTCATCCCTCCAGCCACACCTGCTTCCTGGAACCCTTCCTAGAGGTCATGCCTCCAGGCCTCGGTGCAACCTGCTCCTCCTGTCCGGACACCCGCCCTTGTGCCTGGCTGCCGCCTCCTCACCCGGCCCCCACGTGTCTTCTCCGGCCTCACCTGTCCAGCAATCTCCCTGACCTCACCGCCTTGTGCTGGGCTCCTCCAGCCTCAATCACGGCCCAGCTGATCACCTGCATCATAATTACCCGGCTCCGTCCGGCCCATCTCGAGGCTGTGCGCCCAGTGAGGGCGACCACAGCCCCTTCCTCCCTGGGCCCTCTCCCTGCATGCCGGGCCTGGATCCCTCAATCTCCTTTCCAGACCAACTTCAGGATGCTCCCCCGGGATCCTGCAGGCCCCCACTGGCCTTCTGCCCCAGGTGCCAGCTATCCTGGCTCCTACCTGCCTCTCGAATGAGCTTCTTGGCCTTGCGCTCGCTGAGGGAGCTGACCTGGAAGGGCTGGGGTGGGGCGGGGGCGGGGCGCAGGGTCTGCAGGCGCGTGGCACAGCAGTACACGGCCAGGGCCGACAGTTCCGGGGCGATCTGCTTGGCCTGGGTGGGAGATGAGCCTCAGAGGGTTCCTCTAGCCACAGCCACAGCTCCTCCCTTCCCTCCCTTCGCCCCCTGCCCAGGCCGCCCCACTCACCTGCCGCTTCTGCTCCGCCTCCACCCTCTCTTCTTCCTCCTCCTCGTCCTCATCCTCCTCCCGGTCTGACAAGATTCGACCATCCTCATTCCGAGCAGCTGGCAGCTTCTTCCCCTTCACCAGGACCCGGCCCTTCAGCTGCTGCAGAGACCAGGACAGGAGGGTTAAGTCCCTCACTCCTGTGTCAGCGGTTAGTCATCCAACCACCACAGGGTGAGGGTCTGGCCGGGGTGATGAGAAGGAAAAGACACACAAAGATGAGTGGATTCTAATAGAAAAACAAACAGAGGAAGCAAGCCAAGAGGTTATCAACAGGGGATTGGCCAACGAGGTCCCTCCAAACATCAGAATCCTACAGGCAGCCGTTAAAATGAGGGAGGTAGCTCGGGATTGAGAGAAGCTGCTCTCCAAAAAAGATCTCCCCTGGAAGCAGTGCAGACCAGGAATCAGGACCCTGTGGGGTAACATCTGAGAGAAGATAGCTATGGGGAGGGTATATATGGACGGGGAAACTGCTGAAGGTGGTTCCTTTGTGTGACATAGGACACGGGTGAGCCCCAGTAGGAAAAACATTTTCAATTGAATACACTTGTGTACAGTTCAGTTTTTGTTTACGATATGTATGTTATTTTCAAATGCTAATAAAAGATCAAATTACACACACCCCAGGGTGAGTCAACATTTTTCGCATATTTGGGATGGGGAGGAGGAGAGTTCTCTCCAGGAGCCAGGAGAGAGTCGTGTCCTGCGGGGGCAGATAGCGTGCTCTGGGGTTTGGAATGAAAGGAGACGGGCCTCTCCGGCCGGAATGCTGGGCGGTTTCTAAGGCCCAGGAAGAGGCAGGGGAAGCTGCACCGGAACTGTAAGCAGGTGGCACTGGGCTCGCAGACGGCTGGGAAGGGAGCTCCAGGTGGAGGCAATGTCAACCAAGACCTTCAAGGTCAAGGTGGGAACGGCTGGGCTCACAGGGACTGTGGGCAGGGAGAGCAGGGCCAGGTCCGCAGGGCTAGCAATGCCAGGAGGGAGGGTGGGGTGGGTCTGGTCAGACACGGACAGCAGGAGGCTGGTAAGACCGCCGGGTGGCAGGTGGCAGCAGGCAGGAGCAGGGGAAGGTTAAGGCAGAGAGAGGCGAGGGGTCCTGAACAGGGAAGTGGCGTGAGCAGGGGTGGACCCTTCCCCCACGGACGCTGACGCTCTGGGCGCCTCACCTCGGGGGAGGGCAGCTCTTCCGGGTTCTGGGAGTCCAGGGGCTGTGTCACCAGCATGTCCCCCAGGATGGTGCGGAGGTGGCAGGCCATGACAGCCTGCTGTTCCAGCCCACAGTGGTTCTCGAGGGACAGGATGACAGGGTATGGGGACAGCTGTAGAGGGAGAGGCAACAGCTCAGTCACTCACCCCTTCCTCCCTCCTCCCATCCCAACCAGAACCCCCACCACGTGCAGCCCCAGCTCCTGCGGGACAGGCAGGCCGAACCGGGGGCAGGGGAGACCAGCCCACCGGGGTGGGGGAGACCGAGGCGGTGGGATGTGGGACGCACGCTGGGCGGGGCCAGCCTGTCCATGGAGGGACAGAGGTCAGGCCTGGGGCCTCGGGAAGGGATGGACTGTCTGGGAGGCTGAGGGCAGCTGCAGGATCGGTTTTCTTTCATAAAAGCTCTTTAGATGTTAGTGACGTTGACCATGTCATTAGTGTGCAAGCTCCCCCTCGCCCTTCTTCATGTGTAGGTGGTAAGATTTGTGTAGCTTGACTGAAATGGCAGTTTTACGGAGACACCATAGTATGCCTAGCTTCTCTCGCCCTCTTTATGGCTTACTCTTTGGCAACAGTAATTAAAACGTCCTTCCCTCCCGCAAAGTTTTCTTCTGGAAATTCTGAGCTTGTAATACGTAAGGTGACCAGACGTCCCGCTTTTAACAATTTGTCCCGCGCTAAAAAGCGGGACGTCTGGTCACCTTGTTAATACGTTTACCAAATAGGAGGGCGGGAGAAGGTAGCCCCTCCTCAGCTTTATCCCACCCCCAGCCAGCTGTGCTGGGTGGGGTTCTTCCGGGAGGAGGGGGGCAGGCTCACCGTGAAGGCGTGGTCCCGCACCGCCTGGACCACGTCTCGGAAGAGGATCTTGGAGGTGAGCGTGTGGCCGTGGTAGATGACGGGCTCGCCGCCGGGCCCCTCCCAGCAGTCCAGCTCCACACAGCGGCACCCCTGGGCGAAGGCTCTGTCCACAGACAGGCGGGTGTCACGGGGGTGGCACAGATCAGAGGAACAGACGGGGGGCCCGGGAAGCCCCCGTGGGAGCTGAGCCCCATTTCCCCACCACACGGGGCTCCCAGAGTGTTCCCCGCCACCCGCCCTCCACCAGGTACCTGACGTAGGCCTCGGTGCTGCTGAGCCCCCCGATCTGGGAGTCGGTGAGATAGGTGTTGTGGGAGGAGGAGATAAAATAGTGGGCGAGGGGCTGGTCCATGTCCTGGAACGTGCACGTGTGGGCCGGGTTCAGGGCATCCCCCTCTGGTGACAACAGGTACATCATGAAGCCGTCCAGGGTCATCAGCTCGTGCTGCTTGGCTGCAGGGAGGGGCAGAAGACGCATCAGGCCACATAGGGGACCCCCCGAGCAGCCCCAAATGCTCCCAAAGCTCACGCCACTCAGTACTGATGAGCTACTGACTGGGCTCTACAAAGTCAAGCCATTTGCCATTTCATCTTCGGCCAAACCCTGTGAGGAAGGTGCATTACTCTGTCACTTTACCGGTGTGGCAGCTGAGCCTGGAAGTGGCGAGATAACCCACTCAGGATGGCCCCCACAGCCAGTGACGGCAGAGCCCGCGTATCTGGGGACCCAGATCTATCCGACACCACGGCCCCTCTCAGACCCACCTGTCTCGTTGAGCTCATAGGTCTGGATGAGCTGCTGGGCGTGGGCCAGCGTGGCGCTGGCCTCGCCCTGGTCCTCCAGGAACTCCAGCAGCTCAGGGGCGCTCAGCACGCGGTCCTCGCCCGAGTACCGATGGAAGATCTCCTCCAGCTCCGGGCGCTTCAGCAGCCGCCGCAGAAACTCCTCGATCTCCGTCCCCTCCAGCCGCTCGTTGTTGGAGTGGTCACACTCCTGGAAGGCGGAGGGAGGAACTCAGAGGAGGGGACGCCTGGGAAGCTGGCCCACAATAGCACCCCACCATCCACCAAAGCAAACGTCCCCGTTCACAGGCAGAGGAGCAGAGCCAGGGAGGCTCCAGCCGCGCTCAAGGGCACCCAGCTGGCGGCCTAGGGCGGGTGCTCAGGGAGATCTCTCCGTTCAGGGCCTGTCACTCTGGGCCATGCCCCGCCCTAAGAATCAGGATGTGGGAGGGGCCTGTTGGGTGGCTCAGAGGTGGAGGTTCGACCTATGAGCCAGGAGGTCTAAGTTCAGGGCACATGCCCCCGTTGCAGACTCAATCTGCAAAGTTGAGGGCTCAATCCCCACTAGGGGGCGTGCAGGAGGCAGGCGATCAATGAGTCTCATCATTGATGTTTCTATTTCTCTCCCTTCCTCTTTGAAATCAATAAAAATATATATTTAAAAAAAAAAAAAAAAAGGTAAAAGAGCCGAAACCGGTTTGGCTCTGTGGATAGAGCGTTGGCCTGCAGACTGAAGGGTCGCAGGTTCGATTCCGGTCAAGGGCATGTACCTTGGTTGCGGGCACATCCCCAGTACGGGGTGTGCAGGAGGCAGCTGGTCGATGTTTCTCTCTCATCGAGGTTTCTGAGTCTCTCTCCCTCTCTCTTCCTCTCTGTGAAAAATCAATAAAATATATTTCTTTAAATAAAAATAAGGTAAGTAAGTAAAAGATGTGGGAGGAAACCAGTGTCCCCGGGGCAGGAATGGGCTCCGGTGCTACCATCCCCCGCATTCGTTACCGTCCTCAGATTCCCACGTTCACACCCGTGGCCGGTGAGCAGCAAAGAGCTGGGGATCCACAGGGAGCTGTCGGCCGGGGCACAGGTGCCGTGGTGGCTGGACACTTGGCCGGCATCCACACAGGGCCTGCCGCGGGCTCTGACGGGCCATGGATGCAGAGCCGGACCCTGAGCGCCTGTCTGCTCCCCCAGGTGTGGCGGTGCCGCACGGGCCTCAGTGGAGGAGGGCGTGCCCGTGTGCCCGAGCGCCGACGCCTCCCTTGGCTCCTGTGTGCACACCACCCAGCTCACCTGGGCCAAGGGCTCCAATTTTAAAGAAATGAAATCCACGGCTCGGCCGCTCCCTTGGGATGGTGGGAAGGCCCAGTCCTCCCTACCCTGGGGTGGGCCTGAGGGGGAGGAGGGAAGCCCGAGGCCAGCACTCCCATCCGGGCCCACAGCCTCGGGGTAGGAAGGTGAGGAGACCCAGGTGTGGCCTTTCTGCAGCCAGAGGCCCGATGGCCCCAGAGTGGGGTGGGAAGAGAACGGACGGCTGTACTGGCCGGGGGTCAGGGAGCTGAGGCCCGAGGTGGAGGGGCCCACCTTGAAGAGGCGGTAGGCGTACATGTCGTTCATGTCCACGTTGACCATTCTGAGCAGGCTCTTGATCTCCTTGAAGCTCATCTTGCTGTCCTGGTTGGAGTCCGCCCGGTGCAGGTAGGAGTGGATCCAGGTGTGGGCGCTCAGGAAATACAGCAACAGGCTGGGCACCACCCCCCGCGGGCAGGTCTGTCACCATCACCTGGCCTGGGGGCTCCCCAGGGTCCCCCAGTGGCCAGTGGGCTCCCTGAGCATAGCAGCGAGCTGTCCTCCCTGGGACTGAGCTCCCCAGAGCCAAGAGGCCATGTCCCACCCTCAGTTTTTAAGACAAGGCGCTAGGGTAAGGTGACCAGACTTCCCGATTTTTAACAATTTGTCCCCTGTTAAAAATAGGGAAGTCTGGTCACCTTAGGCTAGGGGTTCAGGTTCAGACTGTGGACCCCGGAAGGACAGGGCCACCTCCCTCCACCCCCACCCCCCCAGCCCCGGGCAGGATATTGGTCCAGGCGCTCGCGCTGGCTCATGGCCTCCAGGCGCGCGCGCAGCTTGGCCAGGCCGCGCACCCAGCGCTGCGCCTCCTCGGCCGTGGGCGCCGCCAGGTCCAGGTTCTTCCTGCGGCCCTTGAAGGCGATGGTGAGGCAGCGCGCCGGCGCGAAGGCGCCCCCGAAGCGGCGCAGGCCCTCCGACTGGTGGCCCTCGCGCACCGCCTCGATGTGCTGCACGAAGACTGCGGGGGGCACGGCGGTCAGGGCGCGGGACTGCCCGGCCCCGGTCTGCCCCGTCCGTCTGTCCGCCCGTCCATCCGCCCGTTCGTCCGTCCGCCCAACTCACAGATGTGCTGCGACGGCGCGTGCGGGAAGCGCCGCTGGAACCACACGGTCAGGCCGTCCTCCTGCAGCCGGTACAGCCGCTCCTTCTGCCACGTGCGCGAGCGGATCTTGCAGAGCCGGGAGCCTCGCAGCATGGCGCGCACGTCCTCATCCTCCGTCAGGCCTGCAGCGGGGAGGGAGGCCGGGTGCTCAGAGCCTGTCCTACCAGGACCCCCTTCCTCCCTCTCCCAGCCGGAGCCGGGGCCTCCTTCCTCCCTCTCCCGGCCGGAGCCCGGGCCGCCCCTCTGAGCCCCTGCAAGCCCACACAGCCTCTCTGCGCGGCAGGAGGCCTGGGCTGGGCCTGAGGCTCGGGTGCCCCACCCGGGCCCCCTGCGAGCTGTGCCAGGAGCAGGCCCTTCCTCCCCGCCAAGCAGTAGTCTCAGGAGCAGAACAGCCCTTCGGGCGGGAGAGGGACTCAGGCCGCACTGTCCCTTTCCGGCCCCTCCCCTCCAACAGCCCCTCCAGCCTCCGAGTCCAGAACCTGCCACCTACAGCCTTTTCCCGAACTTGAAACCCTGGCCATCCAGAAAGTCGTCTCTCTATCTAACCTAAATCTCTCTGGCTGCAGCCCAAGCTCCTCACCTCTGCTTTCAAAGACAAGCGAGGCCCGCAGAGGCCACCCTGGCTTCAGGGTCACTGACCCGCCCTGGCTAACCAGAGGCTGATCCCCAGGCATCTCATGTGAGCTCTGGGGGCCCAGCTGGAAACACGTCTCCTGGGATATTCGGCATTTGCCCAGCCACTGTGACACCCCCGTGTCACCCCTCAGCCCCAGGTCCTCTCCTGTTAGTGTCCACCTTCCCTATAGGTATTAGGGGCAGAAACAGAATCCTGGGTACCAGCTATGGTGGTGGGAAATGGTAATCACGCCCTGTTCACCGAGATTGCCCTGTTCTGGTTAAAGGACATTGTAACCAGGCTGGGAGTTGTACCATGGCCGCATGCCCTCCCCCTAACCCCCACCCCACCCAGAACTTGGGAGTCAACCTTGGAATGGAGTCTGCCTGTTATCATTACTGCCTGTTATCAGGCCCAGGTTAACAACCTTGTTACCCAAACAATGGAGTCCCACCCCAGGTTGTAGCTGACTTCCCCGTGCCTGTAATCCCTGCTTCCCCTTGTAATCTTTGTCCTCCCACCCAACAGAAACTTCTGGCGTACGGGAGGAGCTGCAGAGCCATGTTTGTGGATGACCTGCTGCTCTCCCATACTGCCGCAGTATAGTAATAAACGCTCCTACGTGATTGAACCCTGTCCCTGCTGAACTGGCTCAAGGAGTGACAGGCAGCCCTTGGCTGTCCGTTTCATTAAAACAACATGCGTCAAAGCACCTCCTGCACACTCCCCCGACCCTGCTCTCACTTTAGCACACGAGGAAACAACCTTCAGCCACCGGCCAGAATTCTTCCTTTCCTTTTTGTTTTCCACTGGCCGGAGTTCCGAGGAAGTGGTGGAAATATTTGCCCTTGGCTAGGAACTGAACCTCTCGGCTCCCATTCTCCTCCTCCTTCCTCAGCCCCCACCAATACCTGGCTGGGCACAGGAAGTGGGTGAGAGCAGAATTCACTTGTTTATTCTATATTCAATCTGTTTTAACTAAAGGAAACTTCACACATTTCTTCTACCCCAGCTCTAAGCCTCATGGTCTCCATGCATAAAACGGAAGTCTCAGAAGTACCTGCTAACAAGAACGGGGTGTGTGTGTGTGTGAGTGTGTGTGTGTGGAGCCACACCCTGCTTGGCTTTGCCTCCACGGGGGTCAGAACCAGAGGTGTGTGAGCGGGACAATAGCAGGGCTGCGAGCTGGACAGGCCGCAGGGCCCGCCCTGTGGGAAGGAGGACGGCCCGCGGTGGACGGGAGCCCAGTTTCCAGAGCCCGAATCCGGATTTGGATGTGAATCCTCCAGATTTTTCAATGTTGGCAACGAAATCAAACAAACAAAACCCCCAAAACACTACGTTGTGGGCCAAAGGAAGCAGGACTGTGGGCTTCTCTCCCCCTTTTTTATTTAACAAGCCCCCACGCCGGGTCTGGCTGTGGGCGTTGTGGCCCCGAGGCCCCTGCCTGCCCACCAGCAAACGCTGACCTCAGGAATCGAGTCTAAATCTCTGGGCTCTCCTCTCTCTCTCTCTTGGAGCCTCTGTGCGATCCTCCTCCTTCCTCTTCCTCCTTCCCGAACCCTGCAAGGTCCTACTGACCTCCTCTGGAAAGTCTTCCAGAACCTGCCCTCCAATGGGAGTTCTCCCGCCCTGACCACCCCCAGCACTTTTCACTTTAGTTAAAGCAAACAAACATCCCACCTATGTTGTCATTCCGGTGGACTTTAATAAACCCAGGGGCAGGGAGGAGACCAGCCTCCTAACCTCGGTGCTTGTCCCAGAGCCAGATCTGCAGGCAGTTTCTGAAAGGGGCGGCAGATGGACAGACAGCTCTGCCTCCAGCCCTGCCTCTTCCATCCCGAGTTCAGAGCGGAGGCCTGTGGGGCTGGGTTTCCCAGTCCTGGCTGAGCATCGGTACCACCTGCGGGAGGCTGCAAAACCCACGGCCCAGAGATTCTCAACGAGCAGGTGTAGGCTGGAGCCCAGGCATCTGTGCATTTAAAAACCCACCCTGTGACTCTGAGGGCACCTGTGACTGAGAATCAGGGGCTGCGTCAGGGGCAGGAGGAGAAGTCTGCCATCCCTTGGCCCTCATGGCTCCACGGTGTTTCTCAGGGTTTAGACAGTGCCCCTCGCCTGGAGGAGAGGTGGAAGGTAGCATGTGCCAGGCCAAGAGACTCACCAGACCCTCAGACACCCTATCCCCACATCTGGGCAACCTGTGAATTCTCTCATCCTGAGAAGCAACGGGATAGGACAGGACAGTCAGGGAACCTGCAGGGCCCCACAACTGAGTCTGCCCCTCCTCCCCCTGCTCCGCTGGGGGCAAAAGGCCCTGCATTGCCACCACTCCCAGACTCCGCAGCTGCGGCCACCCCCTGATCCGGCCGGCCCTCTGATGCCCAGTCCACAGCTAGGGGTGGGGGTGCGGGGAGGAGGGGACAGCAAATGACTAAGTAATGCCGGAAATGGAGGTGAGTCACGCAGGGCCTGCTTTGTTCAGCCTTCTGCCAACAGGACATGGGGACAGCCAGCCTGGACTCTTGACCAGCCTCCCAGTGGGACAGATCCCCATGCTGAGGGGGCCCCTGTTCCTGGCTCTCATCCCCAGCTCCCCACGAACCAGTTCCAGCCTGTCCACCCAACTGGTACTAGTCCCTGGGTCACACTACCCCCCAACCACACACCCAGTGGAAAAGCCAAAAAGAATGAGGGGTCAGAGCCAGGCTGGGCCGGGGCTGAGTCCTTGGGTGGGTGCCTCTGTTTCCCCTTTGCTGACCTGCGGGATAGTGAGGGTTCTGGGGTGTCAGGCAGGAGAGGCAGGACCAACAGAAGGAAAGGGGTGAGATCAGGAGGAGTCCCCAGGCCCCGGGCAGAGATGCTGGGAGGAGCCTGGCTCTCTGTCCGGTCCCAGTAAGCACTTACAGGTGCGGCTAAGCCTCAACCTACAGATGTTACACCACCACATTCCTACCTGCTCGGAGCAGGTGCACAGGCTGCCTGCCTTCTGCAGTTTGGGTGGTTCTCTCTCTATCCTCTCTGCCTGCACGCTGGGCTGGGCAGCACCGTGGCTCCCTCGACTGAGCAGGTAGGGGACTAATCATGAACCGATAGCAGTGAAAACGAGGACAGACAGCAGCCAAAAGGCGGGAAGGACCCAGGTGGCCGTTGACAGAGTCACAGATAAGCGAGTGGTCACGGGTGTGCAGACAGAAGGGTAAGACGCAGAGACAGGGTGTGTGACAGGAGTGCTAGGTCTCCAGTGAGGGTGTGTGTAGGTGTGTAGATGGTGTGTACACACAGGGTGTATGCACTGGTGTGTGTGGGGGAAGGGGTTGATTGGGGTTTGGGGGAGGGTGGAAGGTGAATCAGCTTGGGAAGGAAAATAGACAACGTGTGTGTGTGTGTGTGCGTGTATGTGCGTGTGTGTGTTTATGTGTGTGTGTGTGTACGCCAGGGCACTCAGGAGGGGCACATGGGGCTCCAGAGGAATGTGAGACATGCAGGAACAGTGACAGCAGCAGCGCCATGCCAATGGGGGAGGGGCGGAGGGCAGCTGGTCCTGGTGGCTGGCTCAGGAGGCTCTGGGAGGGGACGCACAGCTGGCCAGGTTCCCAAACACCTTCCCACCTGGATCCTCCAGCCAGCAGGCAGCCCCCCAGCACCCCAACGTCCAAACATGTGCCCCTTGTCCCCACCGGCTGCCACCCAGGGCTAGAGCCAGCAGAGCCCAGAGCAGAGTCCAGAACATTCCCTGGAGAATCCACAAAGCCAGGAAAGGCAGGGGTGCTTCCCGGGCCCGGGGCGGGACCCGGTGAGTGAGGGTGGTGGCACCCTTCCTGGCAGGGCCCGAGCAGCCATGAAGCCTGTGCAAGGGCAGAGGTTGTGGGACGCCACTCCCCCGAGCTGAAGAAGGGGAAGAGGGGGGCACAAGGCATAGCAGCCAGCTCACCCGGCCTGCCTGGCATGCTCCTGCTTAGCCAGGAGGGCTGCCCTCCCCTCCCCACCACCAGGCCAGGCACCTGCCCGCACTGGGGGCCGCGCTGAAGACCCTCACCCAGGGCAGCCCCACTCACCATGCAGGGGACATCCCGGGCAGGCCATCCGCGGAGCCCTCTCGCCCTGTGGCACCTGGTGGTGTGTGCAGGCTGAGGAGGGCAGGGAGCAGGCTTCTGCCCACTCAGTGCCCTGCTCACTGGGCGGATTGGGGACAGGGTGGAGCGTTAAAGGCACAGAGTCAGACAGGGGCTCCGGGGAGACAGGGCTGTCCGGTAAAATTCAGGATGCCCAGTTAAACTTGAAATTCAAATATACAATTAATTCGGGCCAACTGATACTGAAATACCTCTTGTTGTTTCCATGGAATTCACATTTCACCGGCATCCAGTATGCTATTTGGCGAGCTTGTGAGGGCACCCTTGGAAACTGGCAGGACCCCTGGGAGGGAAAGGCCCTCCCGAGCGAAAGTCACTCCTTCGCTGTGCTCTGCGCTCGGGCTCTGAGCCAGGTTGCCTGTCCTCACTCAGCTCCTTCCCGGCTGTGAAACTCCTGAACCTCAGTTTCTTCATGTACACGCTGAGGCTCATAGTATCGTCAGCCTCATATGATTGTGAGCATTCAGCGAGCTATGCGAAATAGTGTCATCAAGGTGTTCATTAGCATTCATTCATTCTGGCAATCAAGATCCATCATTAGAAACCAGCCTTTGGCAGCCGTCAGGGTGGCCCTGGGCCGGTGACTTCACCCCCTTCCGCCAGAGCTTCTGTCTGGAATGAGGACAGCAGGACAGCGCACCTCGCTCTCAGCAGCTCCGGGGATTAAGGAGGATCTGGGCTGATGCAGGCTCAGCCCATCAGGTGCTCACTGGGCTCCCCCCTCACTCCTCACCTATTCCCTGGCTTCCTGGGGGCAGGCCAAGCCAGCAGCCTCCTGGGGCAGGGACAGGAGAGACCCCGGGCTTCACAAATGGCTCCCATTCAGCGTGGGCAGCTGCTCCTCTCTCCTCTCTCCGCTCCCTCGCCCGGTCCCCCTCCCCGGCCTGGGTCCTAAAGGCCCTTTCTTTTCCTTGGGCCCCTCTGAGCCTGTGACTTCTGAGCCACTCCCAGCTCTAGTCTCTCTCTCTCTCTCTCTCTCTTGACCTGATCTAAAATAAACCTGTTCTGTGTTAACATAAGGGGTGTGGCCAAGGCCTAGAAGGCCGTCTCAGGACGACCCTGCGGGTGCTGACAGCCTGAGGGGCTAGACCCCGTGACCTGGGTTTCTCTCCAGCCTGTCCCTGGACTCTGAGGCCTGGGCAGGGGGCAGTCCCCACACACTGGACATTCCCCTCGCGGTGGCTCAGCAGGACAGGCAGTGGGCAGAGGAAGGGCAGCCAGATGACATTCTGACACCCACAGGCTCCTGACTGTGTCACTGTGACAGGGTGCCGGGCAGCCTTACTCAGCCCGGGCTCAGCCGCAATTATCTGTCCACAGTGCCTGCCCCCGACCTGTGCGCCCCCTGAGGGTAAGACTCGGGGTGATTCGTCTCCAGAGCCCTCGCCCGCACACAGACCGGGCTGAGCAAACGTGTGCGGAATGCAGAGGCAGACAGGAGTGCGGGCACCGCCTCTGCTCCCCACCGCAGCCAGACCCCTGAGGGTGGCTGGCTCCTCTGCTGTCTCAGGGCCACCTCAACTCCCACAGCGCCCCCCCTCCCCAAACCATCACAGCGCCTTAGCCCAGAGAATGACACTGTCACCCACCAGGGACCACTTTCCAATCTCACCGACTGCGGAGTCCAGCCCCGTCTACACCCCAGGACAGTGGTCGGCAAACTCATCCGTCCACAGAGCCAAAAATCAACAGGACAACGATTGACATTTCTTTTGAGAGACACATTTTTTAAACTTAAACTTCTTCTAACGCCTCTTCTTCAAAATAGACTCGCCCAGGCCGTGGTATTTTGTGGAAGAGCCACACTCGAGGGGCCAAAGAGCCGCATGTGGCTCGCGAGCCGCAGTTTGCCCATCACGGCCCTTAGGAGGTTCTGGAATCCATCTCTACTACCCCAGCCCAAGTCTGTCTGCCCAAGCGACCCCTCAGCTCCCTCCTATGAGTCTCCCTGTTTCACCCCCGCCCTCATCCAACCCACCCTCCCGAGAAAGTTCCTAACTCTGTCCGGAGGGGCCTAAACCTGGCCTGCCTCCCTCTCCCCTTGGGCCTCACTGAGTCCCTGGCCCTCCCTGGCTGCCCAGCATCTCATCTGTCCCCTCCCCTTCTATTCCTGCTTCTGTGCTTCACGTCTGACCTCCCTCCCCATGCTCCACTCTCTGAGGGCCCGGACGGTGCCTGTCCTGTGCGCTGCCGGATTCCCAGGACACAGCACAGGGCAGGCCCTCGGTGAATGTTGGCTGACTGCATGCATGATTGATGGAGTGAGGCAGAGATCATGTTTTGTGTCTGCCTGAGGAGGATCCAGGCATGTTACTCAGAACATAGTCCCCAGAAAATCCAGGTCAACGAGCAGAGGTAGAGGTGAGAACAAGGGGGGCAGAGAACAGCGGCAAAGAGAAAGCAAGGCTGGCCACTGGCACCCGGAATTCTGCTCCAAGATGCACCCAGGTCTCCTGGGCAGCCCTGGCCTTCTGTTCCCTCAGCCCCACAGCCGACGGCTCCGTCACTAACCGTCCTACTAACAGCGGTTCCGAAGATGCACCAGTTCCGCGTACTTCCCATTTTACAAGGTTCTTCCATACATATGGCCCCTCCTACTTTGCCTGAGGGTCCGGGTGGCAGTGTGGTGAAGCACAGCATGCATGCCGACCTTTGCCCTGTTACCACCTGTGTGGTCACAGAAAATGCCTGGACTTCCCCAACCTGTGAAATGGGGGGTGCACCATCTGCCTGTCAGCAGGTGAAGACTGAGTGACACCACACACGTCACTACCCGGCTGCCTGTCTCTCAGATGTTTAGAAGTCACAGTGACATCCCTTCCCCCAGGGATGTCCCCAAATCCGAGGCGGGAATCTGGCTTTCTGACACTGAACACCAGTAGACAGTCCCACCGGAGTCCTATTGCTGCTGCACCCGGGGAGAGGGGCTGCTGGCGGGGGGGCTCGCCGGAGGCCGGCGTCTCCACAGCTCTCACACCTGCCAAGGGCTGCCAAGAGCCGGGTGCCCTAAAGGCACGGGTGTTGGAAAGGTGGGTGAAGGACGCCCCAAGTTTGTCTCCCACTCCACTCTCCGGATCGTAGGGACCCCCTCCATCCACACCCCTCCCCAAACTCCCCGGCAGCGCGCCCCGCGGGCGCCTCCTGGTGGGAAACAGACCGTCCTGGGCGCCCAGCGCGGCCGGGACCTCGGTGACCGCAGGTGCGACCCCAGGCCGGGCCGGTGCTGGCACCCACACCTCCCCACGCTCTCCCGCGGCCGGGAAGCCCACCCAGCACCCCCGGTCCCCAGAGGCCCCGCACACAGAACACAGCCCGGCCCCCTCCCGGCCCCGCCGCGCCCCCGCCCGGCCCCGCACTGACCCATCTTCTTCAGCGCCCGCAGCCCGGGCCTCCGGGCGCCGCCGTCCTGGGGAGCGGCCGGGGGCGCCGACCCGACCGACGCGGAGCTCTGGGCGGGCAGCGGGGGCGCCCGGCGCCGGCGGCTCCTCCAGCGGCCGCACAGCATGGCTCCGGGGGCCGGGGGCCGGGCCGCGCTGCGGGGACAGGGCAGGGGCGCCGCTCTGGCCCGGCCCCGGCGCGGCGCGATCGCCGGCGAAGAAACTTAGCGGCGCCGGAGTGAGCCGGAGGAGGGAGTGTCGGAGGAGGAGAGAGGAAGGGGAGAGGTTCGGGAAGGAGGGATCCGGGAGGAGGGACCCGGGAAGGAGGGACTGCGGAGGGAGGGGAGGAGGGAGGGGGAGGAGGGACCCGTGGAGGAGGGACTCCGGAGGGAGAAGAGGAGGGAGGGGGAGGAGGGACCCGTGGAGAAGGGGGGGAGGGATCGGGAAGGAGGGACCCGGGGAGGAGGGAGGGGGAGGAGGGACCCGTGGAGGAGGGACTCCGGAGGGAGGAGGGAGGGGAGGAGGGACCCGTGGAGGAGGGGAGGGATCGGGAAGGAGGGGAGGGGGGGAGGAGGGAGGGGGCGGGGCCGAGGACCGCGCGGGGCGGCGCGGCGCGGGGAGGGGGGGTGGCGATGCCCGGCGGGGCGCTGGCCCTCCCCCTAAGCGTGGGGAGGGGGCGGATCCGAGCCCCTCCCTTTCGCCCCCGTTCGTTAGTCCCTGTTCGCCCGACGATCCCGGATCCCCGCCTCGTCAGTAACCTGAGCCTCCGGGAGGCCCTGGAGCGGCGAGGGGAGGGCCGCCCCCGCACCGACACCGCTCCCGGTCCCTCCAGACCCCTCTCCCCCCCGCTCCTCCCCAGTCCCACCGGGAGGCTCCAGAGAGCCAGGCCGGGGACGGTCTGCAGGGGCCCCTCCCGGGCCGATAGGGCCCTGGGAGCTGAGCTGGGGGGGGCAGCCCGAACCCGCGGAGTGGGGAGCGGGAAGCGGGGTGGAGGGAAGCTCTGGCTGTGACCCCATAGGGCGGACCCCCCCGCCCCCGGCGGCGGAGACCCCGCAGCTGTAGAGTCTCCACGCTGACCGGGCTGGAGGGGAGCGGGTGGCTCCGAGACGGCGGTGGCCGGCACAACTAGGTTCTGGGTTCGAGGCTTGGACGGGCTGGCACCCTCGCCTGCCTGGATTGTCCCGGACAGCCCGGCACGCTGTGCGGATGGCGGTGACATCGCCCGGGGCGAGCGGGGAGCGCGGCTCTGGTGTCGTGTGTTACACTCGCTGTACATGCACCCCCTGCGTGTGTCCGTGCGGAGCGGAGGGACCGGCGGCCGCAGCGCGGTGTTTGCTCCCTGCGCCCCGGGATGTATACATACAACCACCGGGAGTCCCGCCCCTGGCAGCGCCCCAGGCTCTCCCCGTTCTCAGATTTACTCCACTCAGAGGTTCCTCATTCGGGTTGGGTTCTCACTCCTTTCTGGATATTCCACCCGTTTATGGATATTTTTCTGAACCTCACGTCTTCACTTCTGCACTTTTTGTTGTTGTTGTTGTTCACTTATACGCTTGGATCCTGGAATTTCTTCCTCCAAAATGACCTTCCTCATTCTCTGGTTTACCATCCTTTTTAAAATTTGATTTGAGGAAGAGAGAGAGAAATTATTTACACAATCACTGGTTGTTTGTTTTTTAATCCTCACCAGAGAGTGTTTTTTCCATTGACTTTTTGAGCGAGTGGAAGGGAGAGAAAGAGAGAAGAGAAATATCGACCTGAGAAAGACACATTGACTGATTGCCTCCCCAACGTGCCCAACTGGGCTGGGGACCAAACCTGCAACCGATGCGCCTGCCCTTTACTGAAAATTGAACCTGCGACCCTTCTGTCCGCGGGCCAACGCTCTAACCACTGAGCCAATCCAGCCAGGTCCATTGGTTAATTCTTTTTTTTGTTTGTTTGTTAATTCTTATATGTGCCCTGTCGGAATTGTATGGGGAGGTCGCTCTAACCAACTGAGCAACCCGGCCAGGGCTCCTGAGTTAGTCCTAAACCTTCCACAGCTCAGTTCCGATGGCCCTCCTCCAGAACACACTACCCCAGGTTTTTTGTTTTGTTTTTTTTAATGTTTGTATTGATTTTAGAAAGAGTGGAATAGAGAGGGAGAGAAATATCAACATGGATCAGTTACCTCGCCCATGCACCCTGACTGGAACTGAACCCACAACCTGAGGCTGTGCCCTAACCAGGAATCCAATCGGCAACCTTTCGGTGCGCGGGAGGCCGCTCAACCAACTGGGCCACATGGGCCAGGGCTTAACTCCCTGCTTTATCGACAGTGGCCGTCAGGAGTCTGGAGAGACTGGGGTTGAGTTGACAGCCGCGCGTTTCCACCAGGGGGCGAGAGTACTCCGTGCTGTTTCACTCTGTCCACCAGGAGGCGCTTCCGCCCGTCCCCGCAGTCCAGATCGGGAAGCCGACCCCCGGAATCACTCCTCCTGATTGGGAGAGGCACAGAGATTTGCATACTCTTGAAAGGGATGCGCTGAGTGGCTGGAGTATAGCAGCCAATTTTGAAAGAGGCTCTCTCATTGGCTCTCTCATCGCTCAGCGTCTCCTTACGGGCCGGGCCGGCCGGCGGGGCCGGGAGGTCAGTAGGAAGCCTGCGGCTAGTGGCGAGAGAGGACCCCGGTGTCCGGGCCGGGTCTCCGCCGGGTGAGTGTCAGGCTGCCGGGCCGGGGTGCGGGGGCCCGGAGGGGAGGACTGTTCGCCCGCCTGCCTCCTCTTGGCTCGCCCATTCGCCTGTCTAGGAGTTGTAGATGCGCACCTAGAGGGGCACTGCGACCCTAGCCACCTGCCTCTGCACCCACCTGCCTCTGCACCCACCCACCGCGGTCCTCTGCACCCACCGCCGCCGCACCCACACTGCTCGGAGTAGGAAAAGGACTGGCTTCAGCCGCAGCTTCTGGCCTCCTCGGGTATCTCACTCGGTTCTCTACAGAGCTTAGTTTGCCCCTCTGGAAAGTGGATCAGAGTGGTTTGTCTACGTCTGTGCTGGGGTGGACCCTGGAGGCCTGCTCACACGGAGGCTTGTTTTTGCAGAGTTGCGCAAAAGTAGGGACCCAGGGCTCAGAGCAGCTGGACATGGGCACTGAGAAAGAAATCCCGGAGCCGGACTGCCAGAAACAGTTCCAGGCCGCAGTCAGAGTCATTCAGAACCTGCCCAAGAACAACAGTGAGTGAGGGCGGGGGACCTGCTTTTGGGGGTCAGAACGGCTGGGGCCTGCCTCCCGGGAGACTCTCTGATCCCTTTAGTTTTTGCAGACAAGTCTCTGCCTGGGCCACCCGATGGGTCCCCTCTGCCTCCTGCCCCGGGCAGACTCCTCACCACCTCTGCCTTCTCCTAGGGTAGCCCCTCCCCCCACCTCCATCCTCTTGGAGCTGGGGGGTGATGCTCTGCTCTCCAATCCCCAATTCCCGCCCAGGTTATTACCGGCCCTCCTATGAAGAGATGCTTCGGTTCTACAGCTACTACAAGCAGGCGACCATGGGGCCCTGCCGGGCTCCCCGGCCTGGGTTCTGGGACCCCATTGGACGATATAAGTGGTGAGCTCCCCACCGGCTGGGCAAACAAGCCTCCCTGGTCAACTGGCCTCTCACACCTCTCTGCCCCCAGGGATGCCTGGAACAGCCTGGGCAAGATGAGTAGGGAGGAGGCCATGTTTGCCTACATCACCGAGATGAAGGTGGTGGCAAAGAAGGTAGGGATAGGCTGTGGGCTCCTCTCTGTCCCCAAGCTCTCAGCCAGGTGGCCTGCCCCCCCCTTCCATTGTTGCCCCCATTATATTTCCTGCACGTTGACACCCTATGGGAATTACCACCTTCATGCCGTTCCCCCAACCTTGTCTTGGTCTGACCAGGCCCAGCTGGAGGGCATGACAGCAGAGCAGTGGGGAGGGCCCAGCTCACAGGGGGAGGAGGGCAGAGATGGAAGGGGCCAGCTATTCCCCAAAAAACCTTATCCCCTACAGGTGATCGACACCGTGCCCCTGGGCGAGGTGGCGGACGACATGTTTGGTTACTTTGAGCCTCTGTACCAGGTGATCCCTGACATGCCGAGACCCCCGGCAACCTTCCTGCAAAAGGTCACAGGTCAGGCCCCCAGGATGGGCACTCTGCGGGTGCTGAGTCAGCTGTCAGGTTCAGGCTGAGGGAGCTGCTGGTTGGAGGGGGCTCAGGGGTAGAGGGCTCCAGGTGACATCCCTGTAAGGACCCCAACTACTGCCCGATGGGGTGGGTCTCGAGCAGAGTCTGTGGCTAATGGGGAACAGGTCTGATCTCACTGGGAGGCGCCAGCCCCACCCCTGGGTGCTATGTCTCTGCAGGTCTTGAAGAGCAGGTACTGAATGGAGATACTGGGGCTGCCCCCGAGTCTCCCTGCCTTCCCAAGGAGCCAGCAGCCCCAAGCCCAGGTAGTGGTTGGGCAGGAGGGGCAGAGGCCAAATACAGGCCAGGGTTGGGAGAGACACCCTGGGGGCAAAGGGGGGAAGGCCGGGTGCCCTGCTGTGCCGGTCAGACCTCACGCTCACAGGCAGACACCTCCTGTGCTCCGGGGGAAGCCAGGAGCTTTCTGAGACTTTTGTTCTGGGCCTCCCTCCTGGGACCCATCGTGCCTCTTGTGGCAGAATCTCCATTGTCCCCTGAACAGGTGCCTCCGCCCAGCTCTGCACTCCTCCCTCCCTCCATAGCCTTCCTCTGGTCACTAACCTACCTACACCCTCCCCAGAGTCTCAGCCACCCAGGGACCCGGACCCTGAGATTTTCTGTGATTCCCTGGAGCAGCTGGAGCCCGAGCTGGTGAGACAGCCCCTGTGTCTTCCCTCTCGCACCCGCTGTGCCCGGCTGCTCCCGTGCTCCCTTTGGACCCGGTGACTTTACCCCGGCAGGTCTGGGCAGAGCAGAAGGGCGCACCTGGAGGAGAGCCTGACACCAGAATCAGCCCTGTGCCCCCAACGGGGAAAGGTGAATGAGTCACTGCTTGACCCTTAACCCCCTCTGCCCAGGCCTTTCCTTGGCTGACCTCTTGGGGCAGAGATGAAAGTCTAGTTCGGGCAACTGGAGCGAGCAGCCTCTGCCCAGGAAGGGTTGCCAAACAGCCAGGTACTGGATGGGCAAAGTTCTTGCCTGGCCTTGCCTCCCTGAAGGCCCTCAGGAGCCATCGGGCACTGAGTAGGGTAGCTGGGCAGGAAGTGTTGGCCCCCCACATAGCTGCAGCCATGTGGCTCTGGGAGTCAGACTCTCTCTCTGGGCCTCCCACTTGGGACCTTCCATAACGTTCAGTGAGCCATGTCCCATAAAGGGCACTTTCATCTCCTTTGTCCCTCTGAGCCAGCAGCCCCTGAGGGAGATGGTATCTCCTCCTAATTTTCAGATGATAAAATGAGGCTCAGAGAAGTTAGTGACTTGCTCAGAGTCACACAGCTACTCCGGGTAGCCTGTTTCTCAGCCATGTGGATGGGCTTTACAAGAGCCACACTTGGTACAAGGAATTGTGCCCTCCTCTTACTTCTTTCTGCCCACACCCTGCCCCTGGCTGAGCTGCCTCCTGAGTCCTCTTCCCTCTGGGTCCGCTTTCCACAGAGGGGCTCAGAGGCAGCCTGCCGGGGCCGCAGGAATTGGACTCGTGGCTGGTGGGGACAGTTCGAGCACTGCAGGAGAGCATGCGGGACGTCCAGGGGAGACTGCAAAGCCTGGAGAGCATGCCACCCCCCCGCAAGGAGGTGAGCCCCCCAGGCCTAGGGCAGGATCGGAGCAAAGCTCTGGAAGGCTCTGTCCTGGGCTCTTCATCTGGCCACTTCTTTGTCCCCACTTCTCTACCTGCCTGCCCCTGTACCTGCTCCAGAGACTGTGTGCTTCCCGTCCCAAGCAGGGAATCCGAAGCGCTTCCTCTTTTCCTGCCCTTACCTCCCTGTGCTTGAAGAGACACTGAGCGGGAGGACTAATTCCAACAGTTGCAAGGGCCAGGATGTGTCTGCTCTTTGCAGTGGGGCTGGGGGTCCCTGTGGTTCCTCAGTTAGACTTCTGTTCCAGATGTATGGCTTACTTCGAAGCAATTCAGCCCTTGTATTCCTCACTCCTCCCTGGACGACAAGATCTGCTTGCCCCTCACACCTCAGCTTCTGCCATTTCTGGAGCCCAACTATGTGCCAAATACCATTAGTTGCATTATCTCGATCCATAGAACAGCCCAATGAAATAGGTTTTCTTTTTCTTTCTTTTTTTTTTCTTTTTTTTTTAATAGGTTTTCATTTCCCTGTTACTGATGAGGAAACTAAGGCTCTGAGAGGTTGGGTAACACAGCCTGGAAGACTGTCCCAGAGCTGCTATGAGGATTAGATAATACTTGTAGTTACTTCCCCTGAGCTCAGCACACACAATGACCTCTTGGAATGGAGTTCACTGTTATTGGTATTATCATAAAGTGATGGAGCTGGGAGTGGCCCTCGCTCTGCCTGCCTCCAGAGCTGGCACCCACCACTGACTCGGAGTGGGTCTGTTCTTGAGAAGCCTGGGATGGGTGGGGGATGCAGGCGAGGGCCGAGTTGCTGGATGTGGGCAGTCATTTGGGTGACCCCTAATCCCCTTGGCACAGCGAGTATCAACCAGGGTGGCAGGCATTGCCTCACATTCACAGTGGCTAACATTTCAACACCATCCCCACTACCCTCCGAGGCTTTTTATATTTTGTTTACCTTTTACTAATTTTATATGCTAAAGAGTTTAAAGATTTCCACCCTGAAATACTTGGGTTTGCATCTCTAAAAACAAGAACATTCTATTACCTAATCTTATCACACTCAACAATTCCTTCATATCATCAGATGGCCAATACAAATTCAGATCTCTCCAGCTGTCCCAAAATTGCTTTTTCCAGCTGCTCTATTCGTCCAGCCCAGAAGTACATGTGGTATCTAGTTGCTCTGTCCTTTTAACCCAGACCAGTCTGGGTTAACCCCTTTCTTGCTACTAACTTGCTAATGAGATTCAGCCAGTAGCCCTGTAGAAATGTTCCACGTTTTGGGTCTATCTGCATCCTGGTAGGTGGTTTACATGACCAGGTTTCATCAGAGGGGATGTAATTCACACCAGGGAGCACATATCCATGTCCTGCCGTTAATGACCCTCACATGGACCGCTAGCAAAGGGGGGACAGTCTGGTCCCACCATTGTAGTCAGCTTCTCCTCTTGGAGCCAGCGAATGTCCAGTGCTCTGTCCACCCCATTTGTCACACAGGGTTTGACAACAATTGATAACCCTTGCCTGAATCAATAATTTTATTTAGTAGTTGCAAAAAGGTTTACTTTTAAATTATATTATCCCTTTAAAATTAGCTATTACTTTTTTGTAGTTTCCTTGATCATCTAGGATTTCCCTGAAATACAGTGCCTTATGAAAAGGCAGCATGAGCTTATTTTAAAAATATATATATTTTATTGATTTTTTACAGAGAGAAGGGAGAGAGATAGAGTTAGAAACATCCATGAGAAACATCGATCAGCTGCCTCCTGCACACCCCCTACTGGGGATGTGCTCGCAACCAAGTCACATGCCCCTGACCGGAATCGAACCTGGCACCTTTTAGTCTGCAGGCCAACGCTCTATCCACTGAGCCAAACCGGTTTCAGCTATTCTCTTTTTTTTAATCCTCATCCTAGGATATTGATTTTTAGAGAGTGGGAGATGGAAAAACAGAGAGAAATATCCATGTGAGAGAAACACATCAGTTGGTTGCCTCCTGCATGTGCCCTGACCATGGTCTGGGGAGGAGCTTGCAATCAAGGTCCGTACCCTTAACTGGAATCGAACCCAGGACCCTTTGATCCGCAGGCCGATGCTCTATTCACTGAGCAAACTGGGATAGAGCTAGGGCTAATAATATTTTTTAAGTAAGAAATTTATTTAAGAACTTCCTCAATGGTGACAAATTTCCAGCTTTCTCTTTTTGTGAGTATCAATGTGGACTCATGGGTTTTAAAGATTCAATATTTCAGTCAACTGCAATCATTCTTCTTAATGCTCAGATTGTCACAATTTGGTCAGTGGGGACCCTTTCAAGTTGGGTCCTATCATGACCTCATTAACCCTTAAAAGCTTCCTTGCTTTCATTCACCTCTACCTTTCCTGCTCCAGACCTGGAATCGGCCACTTCTCCAAGGAGTCCTGGCTCCTTTTAGCAAAAAAAATATTTAGAGATTAATATCTGAGCAGCCTGGGTCCTCATTTGAAACATGTGGCACATTCTTTACAATACGAGGAGCTTAAGGCCACACCAACAGGGCCATTGCTTTCTGGCCCAGAGGAAACAGCCTAGAAGCTGGCCCCTCTGCCTGGCAGCCCCTCCAGCCTTCAGCCCCTCCGCCTGGCTGCCCCTGCACCCCCTTGGCACCTGGGACTGCCTGGGAGGAGGATGTGGAAGTGAGTTGGAGCTCATCTGTCAGGGACACAGGAGGAACCCCAGGGTCCTTCCCTCCCATGGTGCAGATATGGGGGTAGGGCTTCTCTGCTCCTCTTTCCATCTGAATGAGAAGCTCCTGCTGGTTCTGGAAGCAGCTCCTGAGGAGGGCTGGCTGTGCTGAGGCCGGGCTGGCCCTGACTCCCTCCCTCCTTCTTGGCAGCAGAGGCCCCCATCCCGCGATCGGCCCTGGCCTCTCAGGCTCTCAGGCCCTACGCTGCTCTTCTTCCTCCTGTGGCCCTTCATTGTCCAGTGGCTCGTCAGGCAGTTCCGGACCCTGAAGAGGTGATTCTCCATGGAGGAGTCTGCAGCCAACGGAGGAGGCCGTGTGCCCCCAGTCCTGCTGTGCCTGGAGCCTTCCTAGGGTTTGAGAGAAGAGCATTAACCCCACCCACCACCACTAACAACCAGTGTTTGCCTTGGCACCCCTCCCCTAAGGGGGAGCACGGCAAGTGGACCCCGGCTTTCCCAGCAGCTTCACGAGGATGCTCCCTCCACCTCCCACCCCTCCAGCCACCCCCGTTTCCTTGGGAGGTTGCGGTTGCAGTGCCCGTCCCGCGTTTTGGGTTGGCCGGTGGCTCGGGGGCGGGGCTGCTTCTGCCCTCCCCGGCCCCTGGGTCACCTGACTTCTCCCACCCAGCCGCTCCCCGCGGAGCTCAGCTGCCGGGCAGGTTGGGACTTGGGCCGGGCCGGGGATTGGCTGGCAGGAGGCTTCGGGAGGGAGGCCCCGCCGAGTTAGGGGCAGGCAGAGAGCAGCCCCCCGGGAGGGGCGAGAGCTCCGTTTGCGGGCCTTCCTCTCCCCACGCACACTCAGGACGTCTTCACCGAAGATCCACTTACAGATGAATGTCTCACTAAATAAAATAATCTTTTGCCATCTACGAAGTGAGGCGGAGATCGAGTCCCGAGCGCCCGGGGCACAGTCCCTCCCCTCCCCTCCTGCCCCACCTATGCCCCCTGGGCAACCCGGGAGGCCGCTGGGGCTGTTTCTGAGCACGGGGGTCCCTCCATGGACAGAAGGGAGCACAGAGCCGGGGTCCCGAAGAAAGACGGAGCGGGGTGGGGTGTCCTGGGAGGGGAGGGGCGGGCCCCACCGGCGGGCCCCACCCGCCGCAGGGAAGGGCCAGGGACTCAGCCCTCCCTTCGCCTCCCCGGTGGGGGCCCAGGAGATGGCGGAGCTCCGGCACCGTAAGACGAGTGGCTGCTCCCTGGTGCGCGCGGAGGCCTGGGGTCTAGGCTCCCGGAAGTGCCCACTGCCCGCTTACCCTCAGCCTGGGCCCCCTTCCCATGATCTCTTCCCCTGGGCTTTCCCGGGGAACTTTCTGGAAGGCCAAGACCAAGTGGGAGCCTTTGCCCCGCCCTTAGGCATGGGGGCGGGGACCTGGGCCAGGAGACCCTTTGGTGTGGGCGCAGACCTCCCGGTAACCTGCTGCTGGGCACTGCATTTCCTTCTCTCACCCTGGGCAACCTTGGCCTCCTTGGTCACACCAGCCCCGTCACCCAGGCCTCTGGCCAAGGTCCCCAGGACCTTCCTGCCCCTGGTGAGGAGGAGCAGTTCTGAATGCCCTTCCGTGGGTCAGCCCCTGGCCTTGCCCACTCTCGGGGCTCGGCCATTTTTTATCCTCAACCCTTTTCTCAAGGCGGCATCCCTCAGAACAGACACATGGCCCCGCTGCTGCACAGACGGCCCAGCGTTACAAGGAGAGGCCGCAGCAGTGGCGGGAGAGGGACAGGCTTGGTGCTGGGATGCAGGTGTGGGCGGAAGCCAGCCCACCTCTTTGCACTCACTAATTGTTGTGACTTGGGCAAGACAAGATCTTTTAAAAAATATTTATTAATTTCAGAGAGGAAGGGAGAGGGATAGAAACATCAATGGTGAGAATCATCAATCTGTTGCCTCCTGCATGCCCCCGACTGGGGATCGAGTCCAGGCACGGGCCCTGATGGGAATGGAACCACGACCTCCTGGTTCATAGACTGATGCTCAGCCACTGAGGCACACTGGCCGGACAAGACAAGGTCTTAATTGCTCTGAGCCGGGGTTGTCTTGTTTGTGAAATAAAGATGGTGATCATAAGGCAGTCAGCCAGTCCTGGGGTTTACATGACCAGGGTATGTACAATAAAATGCCTGGCAAAGGGTTAAAACTCAGCTTATGGTAAGCTGCCTGGCCTCCTGTTTGATAGCATTCGAGGATTCCACAAATGAGTGCACACCGCTGCGCCCTGTCCAGTAAACTGAGGCTGGGCTCCAAATTCCCCGATTGAGGGTACCCAGGAGCCCTGCGGAGTCTAAAAATGTGGTAACAAACTGGAGGTCTCTAACTCCCTGATAGCAGAGAGGCCCCTGGCGCTCAGCCCGCGCTCCTGGTGTGAGGGGCAGCACTCGCTCCTGAGCAGCCTCCTGCTTGACTGAAGCAGCGGCACAGACGGCAGGCTTTTCAGATGGACCCGGGTTCTTAGAGGCTCGGGGCAGACAGGCTGGGGTGGTCAATTTCCAAACCGCTGGCCGTGCCCCACGGGCACTCTTGCTCGCCTCTCCCTCTGGCTTGCGATCACCACTTCCTCATAGAACCACTCGTGAATTCCCAGACAAATCCTTTCTTTGAACATGATGCTTGCCCTTCTGTATGCCCCTTTGCCTGAAAATGATTCATCCTTCAAAGACAGCTAATAAGTCACTTCCCCTTGAAACCTGTACACAATTGTCAACTCCTAAGCAGCCTGGCTCACCAGCTCCTATCTGATTTTTGAAACCTGTACACAATTGTCAACTCCTAAGCAGCCTGGCTCACCAGCTCCTATCTGATTTTTGTCCCCTGCCATTTTGGCTCACTGTGGTTTGATGGCCTCTTTACAGTCTATGAGCAGCAAAGATGACATGTTATCCATCATCATGCCTTCCTAACAAATCTTTGCTAAATGAAGAAATAAGGGCCTGAATCATGCTGAAATTGTTAGGAATGAAAAGGAACTAAATCTAGAGTGGGGGGGGGGGGGTTGCCGAGATTTTGTGTTTGTGACAAAGAAAAATGGCCCGGGGGTCACAAAGACCTTCACACTAGCTGGAACTGGTTGTCATGTGACCTTGGACAAGTCACTCGATTTCTCTGAATCTTAAGAGACTTCCTATCTCTAAAATGGAGACAATAATTTCTATCCTTACTCACTGGACCGTGGTGGGGTCAAATGGTTCTGCGGTAAAAGCACATTATACGGTAAAAAGCTGTTGGAATGTCAGCCGCTATTGCTATAAAGGGAGAAATAATAAGAATGGGTCACTGCGTGTGTGGTAAGAGGGAGAAGTTAAGATTAGAGTGGATTTAGGCCTAAGTAATTAGGACCAAAGGTTTGAGCTACTCCCAGGCCCGGTCCTTCGGGCAGGTGCTTGGAATCTGAAAAATTTTCTCAAGAACAAGCCTTCCAACCTCTCCCCATGGATCCATCCCACGGGCCCGGGCCACCCGCCCTGCTCCTGGTTTTGGATAAAGCCTCCTCCTTGGGGAAGCCTCTGGCTCTGCTTCCCTCCCGGTGCCCAGCACCCACAGATGAGGAAGGGCCTCTGTGGGCGATCCCCCCTTCTCTCAATGAGCCAGGGTTGATTACTTAAATTCACTATTAATTTCGAACCCCTCTCCAACAAGGAGGTTCATCAGCTGGCCCGGACTCCCCTGTCCATCTCAAGAAACGCTCTCAAAAGACCACGTCGGCCCCAGAGGCCATTTTCTTCGCTAGAAGAGGAGGCCCCGGGGCGAGGCCTTCCTACCCCGGGGTTTCCAGGGAGCCCCTGGCGCACACCCCGCGCTTCCCGGATACCGGCCAGGCGAGAGGCCCTCAGCCCTCCATCTTGCGGCGGTGGCATCCCGGGGGCGGCGGCGGCCCTGACGGGCTACACCGGGGCTGGGCTTGGGCACTTCCCCCGTAGGTCTCCCATCCGAGGGCGGACGCCACTCGGGACTCGAACCTGCCTTCTCATCCTCTGAGGCCTAGTCCGAGGTTGCTGCGCTAACGCAGTCGCACTGCCCCTTTAAGGCGGCACTTTTTATACTTCATTTGTTTACTTCTTCGTGCGCTTTTCATTTTTTTACAAAATGTACCACAATATCCGTCCGCAATCGTCGGCCCAAGGTTCTAGCAACACACTTTTAAACCATTTCTGTAATCTTAAGAATTGAAAATTACCAGCCATGGGTCCTTAGGTCTCTTTATAAGATTTAATATTTTTTTTACACTTTAGGGGACTACTTTTTAGGAATAAACCATTTTTTTGACCCAGTTAACAAGTGATTGCGACCTTCAGCACCTCTCCACTGAGTACAGAACCCGATAACATGCTTTAAGACGCACCTTTTCATTAAAATATTCTGTGTGGGCCCTCACGGACCTTGGAATCTTCTCGTATTCCTGAGGCAGAATGGTACGGTCCAGGGCCCGCCCCGTCTCGCGCCATTGGCTTCCTCCCTCCGCGACACGTGTGCCTGTGAGCCAATGGGCACTCACGTTTCTCCAAAGAGGGCTCGGCGGGGGCGGGAGGCGGCCTGGGAGACGCTCCCTGCGCGGTCAGGCATTGGCTACGTCGCACGGCGCGTGTGGCGGCGGGCCCGAAAGATGGGAACTACGAATCCCAGTGTCCTGCCAAGGGGGCCCCAGCCCGCATGCGCATGGGCGGCGGCCAAGCTTCTATATAAAAGCGGCGCAGAGGGCTGGGAGGCAGCAGTTGGAAGTTGGCAGGTGGAAAGGCAGGTTGGGAGGGGCAGCCGGGGAGGAGGCGGAAGAGCTGTCGGGAGGGGGAGGAGGGAGGGAGGGAGGAAGAGAGGAGAGCTGAGCTGAGCTGAGCAGAGCAGAGCAGAGCATTGAGCCAGAGGGGAGATGAGTTTGCCTGTCCTCGGATGAGGCTCCGGCCCGGCCTGAGGAACTGGGAGCTGGGCTTGGAGCGACACCCGTGGAAGTGGGAGGAGGTGGCTCTGGGACCTTAACCCCTTGTGAGCGCTGCGTCAGGGGATTTAACCCCTTGTGGGTCCGGCCCCGCAGAGGCAGCGTCATCGGGTAGTTTTAACCCCTTCGGGGCTGGGTTTAACCCATTGGACTTCACCTCACCTAGCCCACCAGTTCCTCCACTGTGGGGGCGCTCTGCGGGGAGGCTTGAGGCCGACCCCTCCGTACATCACGTACTGCTCCTGCTGCTGCACCCCTTGGACCTGCTGAGCCGATCGCGCGGTGGCGCTTAACCCTTTCCTGGCTCGAGCGCCCCCAAGTTGCCATTGGAGTTTGCTGACAGGACTGGCCAAAGGCATCACTGCAGGAATCACCGGAGCGGACTCTGTGGGACATTTTTTTTCTTCAAGAAAAGAAAAACCTCATTTTTCTTCAAGGACTTGCAGCCAAAATTCTTCAAACTTTGAGGACTCTCGTTGCCATGGCCGAGCCACTCGTGTCGGAATACCAGCACCAGCCTCACACCAGCAACGGTGCGGGTGCTGATGCCGTCCCAGAGGAGCGGAGCCCCGACCGCCCCCCGGGCGCAGAGCAGCCGGCGCCCGAGGACGACAGCAGGCGGCAGCCGAGAGCGGCCCCGCCGGGTGGCCGTCCTGGGCAGGAGGGGGACGGGGGCCTGGAACCCCAGCCGTCTCCTCTGCAGACCCAGGACTGCCCAGAGCCCAGCTGCCTGGAAGCGGACGACAAGGGCCAGAATGGGGAGGACGTGTCCGCTGTGGGGGCCGTCCCGCCGCCCGCGGGAGGGGAGCAGCGGCCCGAGGCCGAGCCGCCCACCCAGCCGCGGCCGGACTCCGAAGCCAACAAGTTGGGGGCTCGTGCCGCCGGGGGCGAGGAGCCGTGGAAGCAGCAGCAGCAGCAGCAGCAGAGGCAGCTGGGCAAGAAAAAGCACCGGCGACGCCCTTCCAAGAAGAAGCGGATTTGGAAGCCGTACTACAAGCTGACTTGGGAGGAGAAGAGAAAGTTCGACGAGAAACAGAGCCTTCGAGCTTCGAGGGTTCGAGCCGAGATGTTCGCCAAGGGCCAGCCGGTGGCGCCCTACAACACCACGCAGTTCCTCATGGACGATCACGACCAGGAGGAGCCGGACCTCAAAACCGGCTTCTACCCCAAGCGGGCGGCGGCCAAGTCGGACACCAGCGACGAGGAGTTTATGGAGGAGGCGGGCGAGGAGGATGGCGGCAGCGACGGGATGGGCGGCGACGGCAGCGAGTTCCTGCAGCGGGACTTCTCGGAGACTTACGAGCGGTACCACGCGGAGAGCCTGCAGAACATGAGCAAGCAGGAGCTCATCCGGGAGTACCTGGAGCTGGAGAAGTGCCTCTCGCGCATGGAGGACGAGAACAACCGGTTGCGGCTGGAAAGTAAGCGGCTGGGGGGCGGCGACGACGCGCGCGTCCGGGAGCTGGAGCTGGAGCTGGCCCGGCTGCGCGCCGAGAACCTGCAGCTGCTGTCGGAGAACGAGCTGCGCCGGCAGCAGGAGCGGGCGCCGCTGGCCGCGTTCGGGGACTAGGGGAAACTGTGGAGGGGAGGGACAAGGGGGGCTTTTTACAGCGATGGGATGTGACATTACGTACAAGTGTATATAAGACAGTGGACCTTTTTATGACATAATCAGAAGAGAAAATCCCCCCGGCTTTGGTTGGTTTGGTAAACTTAGCTATGCTGTAGCTTGCGTGCTTTTCCTGTTCTTTAATTATGTGAAACTGAGGGATGCGTTACTTTTCTCTAGTTTTTTTTTTTTTTTTATGTGTAATTTGACCAAGTTACAATGCATTTTCTGTTAAGAATCCTCTTAAACTGATCTATAAGGTGGCCAAATCTGAGAACCATTAAATCCATTCTAGTTATAATAAATTTAATATTTGTAAATGTAATATAGTTTAAGTGTGGTTTCTAGAACTAATTCAAAATAGTACTGATTATGCGATTGCATTTGGGGGGGGGGATAAAGAATTAAATTTGTTTGGAAAAATATCTCTTAATGGAAGAATTTTCAATTTGCTGGTTTTCCTCTTGAGTTATAGTGTGCTACAATATATAGTTCAGGCAAAATATAAAGATTTAAATAGCTTCTAACTTAAGTGTGCTTGCTTCCTAGTACCTTGGTGTTCTTTCCCGATGTTGGAGAAATAAAGCAGTATTGGGTGTTTGGGGAGTACAGAAAGTGGCTACAATTGGAAGATTAAAATTTAATCCTGCTCATTAGCCATTCAAAAGTCTATTAACAAAACTATAAATCTAACAAGTAGGTTTTTCGTAATCTCCATCCCACCCGACTCCTCTCTCTTCCCCTTTGAGGCTGGGAGTTCCTAAATACCTGGCAGAGGCCCTTAGTAAACCTACTGCCTAATGCTAGCAATGGCAGGATAACCTATGGGGCAGCTCTTTATGTTAAGATGTTTAGAGAAGGGGATATTGGATTTACAAAGGAAAGAGCTGTTTGGAGCATTCCAGGGACTTACCCAACTTGTCCAATATTTAGGTTCTCCCTATACCGAAAAATAGGAGCTCCCCACCTTTCTGAGGGTAGAACTGAAATTTTAAGTGCCTGTCTCTCCCACTTCCCTAGTCCTCCCCCTCCCCCCACTGCAAATCAAATATAAAGCTTCTGGTTAAAGAGCTACATTAACTCCTTGGGGGCTGAGCGGGAACCCTGCACATATTTCCTGTACAGCCGCTATTCTCAGCTCCTAAACTGTGCAGACAGCGATTCTTGAAAGACCCTGGGAATTTCTGCCCGCAAATCAAAATAGTAAGAAATTGGGACTGTTCCCTCTGCCCATCACCTTCAGCTGCCCTGTGTTTCCTCGGGGTAATTGCAGTCCTCAAATCTCTGGCACAGGGGTTCCTTAACTTGGGGCCCTAGAAACCATAGGGAGCCTTGGGGTCCACAAACCCAAATAAAATTACATGTAGACTGGTGTTATATGTACATATTCCCCAGGGAAAGGGTTCAAGAGAATGAGATTGCCAAATTTGTTGAAGGTTTAAAAACTGCAGGGAAAGGGGGAAAAGCCTTCTACTACCCACTACGAAGATCCTTTTGCAGATAAATTGTGGGGGTGATGGAACTTCAGAGTGAAAGGCATGGTGCATAAGAAGCATACACAAATCAATGAGTCAAAGGAAATTATGCTGGTCAAGACTGACTCAAAGCTGGACTGAGCTGGCCTCTGGCCCTATTCTGTAATTGGCCCATGGAAGACAATGTATAATCAGTTTTTCCTTTGGCCTAAAATTTACATTAAATGTCTAAGTTGAAGTAGTTTTCTTCGTGTTTTTAATATTTCTTCTGCTATGACATCATGCAGCAGTCCCAGAAACCCCACTGCTTGATGGAAGGGCAGCAACACTGCCCTCTGGCTTTTTCAGTGCAGAGCAGAAGCCTCGTTTTGATTGCACAAGGATGCAATGCAGCAGTGATAACCTCTAATTTCAGAACCTCTTCTTAAGATAGATAGATGTGAAAGAATCTTGTTTGCCCTATTAGTCTTGGAGAGACTACAAGTACATTTATCAGTCCCATTTTTAAAAATACATTTAATTTTAAGTAACTCATAAAATTGCTATCTTGAGCTATACAACTTTCTGAATTCTGCTTTCAAAGGCACTGGTATTTTACTATATTTATTGCATTTATATTCTTAGAATGATGAGTTTTGTGTGAAATATGAGTTTCTATCAATACTTTCTACTTTGAAACACTTGACTAGCCTATTGCTCTCAGGGCAGAAGACTGAATTACCTATATTACTGGGGCGTTGTGATGACAAATGATCCTCAAATCCACCCTACCCTTTCACTGAAGTATGTCCTGCCAAACATTTCAACTGAGCCGCACAAAAGACTATGCTTACACATTAGCAATTTCAGTTTCTAACTCTGGGACCTGGAGATCTAGCCAGGGCAAAGCACCGCCTAAGCTTGGAGACAGCAGGCTGGGCAGCTTCATCTCCCGAGTGAGGAAAACTTCTTGGGCTAGCCTAGAACATACAAGAGGCTCTCAGGAGACAAGTACCTTCAGATTTCAGTTTGAGGAGAAAAAGCCAGGGAGTTCGATAGGTTTATTTATGAAAAATAGACTAGGTAACTCTAAGGAGAGGAAAATGGTAAAAATCAGACCAGACTGGAAGTTAAGGAACCCGGGTTCCAGTCATATCTTTGACATAAATGTTCTACCAATGCAATCCTAGACACATCTCTCAAACTCTAAGCCTCATTCTTCATCAGCAAAAGAGGGCTATGGCTGCTTTACAGAACTGATAAAAGGATTAAATGAGCAGTATGAAAATGTTTTACATATGCATTTAGCAAGTGCACATCTTATTTTTTCTCATCCAAGGATTTAAAAAAATATATATTTTATTGATTTTTTTACGGAGAGGAAGGGAGAGTTAGAAACATCAATGAGAGAGAAACATCGATCAGCTGCCTCCTGCAACACCCCCCACTGGGGATGTGCCTACAACCAAGGTACATGCCCTTGACCAGAATCGAACCTGGGACCTTTCATTTTTTTAAAAATATATTTTATTGATTTTTTTACAGAGGAAGAGAGAGGGATAAAGAGTTAGAAACATCGATGAAAGAGAATCATCAACCAGTTGCCTCCTACACACCCCCTACCAGGGATGTGCCCGCAACCAAGGTACATGCCCTTGACCAGAATCAAACCTGGGACCTTTCAGTCCTGCTCTACCCACTGAGTCAAACCGGTTTCAGCCGAACCTGGGACCTTTCAGTCCGCAGGGCGACACTCTATCCACTGAGCCAAACCGGTTCCGGCAGGACTTTTTTTTTAATTGACTTTTAGAGAGAGAGGGAGAGGGAGGAAGGGACACTATGGATCAGTTGCCTTCCGTACGTGCCCAACTAGGGATCAAACCCACAACCTGATTGGTATTTTTTCCCCCACTTCATCCAGGATTTATAAAAATACAATTTTTGTATAAATATAAAAATCCTTTGGGGAAATGTAAATAAACATAATTTATCCTAATGACTTCAAAAATTAGAGAAACCAAAGAGTGAATCCAAGAAATTAAAAAAAGATCCATAACCCAATAGTTTACCTTAAAAAAACCAAGAACTGGCTATAGTTAGCCAAACACTAGGTAATACACTACAGGTGTCCCCCTGGCCACTTAAACCCAGAATTGCTGGCAACGAATATTCACAAGAGTGATGGGAAAGTTGGCTAGAGTAAGGATGGTACTTGTACCTAAGTAGATACACTTTCGTATGTTTATTATTATTTCACATTTGACAAGATCATTGGAATAAAATTCCACTTTACTATTCTTTCCAACATGAAGTGTAAATCATTGATGCTAGAATGAAAATGATTTTAAGAGAAAATGTCAAATTTAGGTCCTGAACACAGTGGAGTCTGCTGACCAAAGTGTAATAGTCACACTTTGCCAATGGGACCAAATCTATGGTCTAGGAGGGAAAGAGTCAGTCTTTGGCCATGTTTTGCCAGTTATCTTTGAATACTGGAAAGCTTACAACCTTTTTCCATCTCTTGTTGAAAAAACAAAGGCTGGGTTTAGACAAATCAATGCTATAGCTGTTACAAATCTTCCCGAAGAAATTTTTTTTTCTTTCTTAGAGTTGGTTCAGTTATCAAAATTCTTTCAAATGTTGAGATGCTACAGAAAACTGTTGGTAAGTCTTTTGAAATAGTGTGATGTTTTAATACAGCAGCACCAAGAATAGTTACATTGGCTTACACATTCTCCCCCCACCCCCCAAAAAAAAAACAAAACACAAACATTCAGAACGGAATTACAAATACTCCTCTGAGGTCATATTCTATTTGATACATTCACTGGTTTTGTGTGAAGTGTTAAAAAGGCCTGGCTCTGCAGTGAGCAATATTTCCTGAAGGGAAATATCCCTGAAGCTTTAGAGTGCTCCATGCAAAAGAATTGGAGAAAATGATAGCATCCCTGCTCTTATAAACTACTCAGTAGAACTTGTCCTAACCTCCACAGAGTAATAAAAAGAGGTTAATTTGAAATTCTGAACCTGCTCTAAGCATGTAATTCTGCATATCTGGATAACTTCAGTACAACTTTCAGGCAAAGACAGAAGACCAAAATGGAGGATGGAAGTGAAGGTGTAAGAGGTTAGTGCTACCTTCCTTTCTAGTTATTACTAAAAATGTACTTAACAGAACAGCAAACATTTGAACAGCTTAGGAAGATAGAAAAGAGAATGGGAGAGCGAAACACAAAGAAGAGCCCAGCCAGCGCGGCTCAGGAGTTGAGCACTGGCCTATAAACCAGGAGGAGATGGTTGATTCCCAGTCAGGGCACTTGCATGGGTGGCAGGCTTGATCCTCAGAGTAGGGCATGCAGGAGGCAACTGATCATCAGTGATGCTCTTTTATCATTGATGTTTCTTTCTTTCCCCTCCTCTCTGAAATCAATAAAAAATATATCTAAACAACACAAAGAATAATAATGAATTAACTGTAGAAATCAAATAGTTCAGAAGCAAATATCTTCATCCTGAAGAGGACTGCTGCAAAGAACCAATGAGCCCTTGCTGGTTTGGCTCAGTGGATAGAGCACTGGCCTACAGACTGAAGGGTCCCAGGATGGATTCCAGGCAAGGGCACATGCCCAGGTTGTGGGCTCGATCCCCAGTGGGGGGCATCCAAAAAGGCAGTCAATCAATGATTCTCTCAACATTGATGTTTCTCAATAAAAATATATTTTTAAAAAATCGATGAATCCTGCTCACACAGCCACTTAGTCCCCAAAAGTTGGACATGAGGCAAATGTACAACATCCAGGACTTTGTGGCAACAACTGCTTGGTACCCTGAGAGACTGACCCTAGTTCAGCCCATTCGGAGGGGCCCTTTGTACTGCCTGTGGGCGCGTTTCAGGGAAGGCAGACCTCCCCACTACTCCACATAACCTTCAAAGCAGAAGTGCTAATGTTCCCAAATAAGGAAGTTATAGCGAGTAAATGTTTAGACAGATGGCTATGGAGAACAGTTATGTCTCAAATATTTATCAGGTAGCATTAGTACCATTTTCAAGTTAGGAAACAGGCACGCCCAATGAATTCAATAAAAAATAAAATTTTTAAAAGGAAACTGAGGCATATACAAAAGTCTATCTACAATAGTAGAATTTGTTATAAACTCCAAAATCAACTCATCTGAAAGGAGAGAGCTGAGAAGGAAGTCGAAGGTTTGATTGGACATGAGATGAAGAGACTCAGCAACAAAGCAGTTCGGCCTAATCTTTAGGATTTGGCCTCCAGCCAAGCCAACCAAGTCAGTGGTAGCGCACAGAAATAGAACCTGGAGTTCCTAATTTCCAGTCCTGTTTTCTTCAGTAGATAACCGAACTACTTTTATTTCCAGCCTTTCTTATCAAGGAATGGAAAAGCTTACAGGTCAACCTTAACGAGGATAAGCTTTCATTTTTATAAATGAGTAACAAAGTTCTAGGTATTCCCCTTAGAAACATCCAAAGGTTTAACTGGGCTACTTCAAAATGGAGGGTGAATCACTCCTCCATTAAATTCTTGACTGAAGAACCAAAAAGGTAATCTTCAGAACCCCTTTCGGCTTCTATGACTATTTAACTTATTGACTATTTAACTTGACTCCTACTAAGTGTCAGCTTTTCCTAACTAGAGTCCATCTTTTTTTTATTTTTTCCCCGCCTATTTTTATTTTTATCCAACATTGCTACTTTCTCTGCTGCCACTTTTTTTTTTCAATGTCCGTTTCTTTTTTCTTTTTAAAAAATATATATTTTATTGATTTTTTTTTTTTACAGAGAGGGAGAGAGAGTTAGAAACATCTGAGACAAACACCGATCAGCTGCCTCTTGCACACCCCCTACTGGGGATGTGCCCTCAAAGGTACATGCCCTTGACCAGAATCGAACCCGGGACCTTTCAGTCCGCAGGCTGACGCTCTATCCACTGAGCCAAACCAGTTTTGGCTACAGTCCATCTTGATCTGAATTACAGTGTAAAATGAACAAGCTATAAGCCAAAAGTCAACCTACAGTATCAATTGAGTGAATTGAAGCTTCATTTAGGACTAAGTGGTTCAAATTTTCGATAAAGAACTGAAATCAATGTGATCCCATCTCTCAATCCAGTTCCAAGACTTTCTCAGAGAATAGCTTGGTCAATGTTAAGGCTGTGGAACTGTCACTCTCAGAACTTTTTAAAACATTTACTTTATAAAGAGGAGGAGCAGGAATTCAGTTTCTTGGTATGGAGGCCAAAGACTTAGAAATGGTTTGACCATCTCTAACTGGCAAAGAGCGCCATTGAAAGATAACCTCAAAGAGGAAGTCAATGCCCAGTCACTCCCCTCCTTCAGAATCTACCTAGGCATAATTTTAACGGACATTTTATTTATGTATTTATGTATTTATTTATTTTTATTTTGTTTGGGAAATGAGGAGCCAGGTGGGAGCCCATCTTTAGTGGGAGGACTACCCTTAACGGACATTTTAGCAAAAGAATTATTAAAATACCCCTGAGCTATAAACCCCCCTGCGTTTAGGTTTCCAGCAGTAGGAAACAACAGTTTAATCCGCAATTCCAAAAAAAAAATTTCACATTAAACTTCAACCTTTCAGAAGCTACCACAGCTGTAAGGTAAGCCTGAGTTGGTGCTTGTTTTTCAGAGTAGGTCCCCTATCTCCAAAACTCCATCTATGTGAAGTAGCTCCCAACTGCCAATCCTGTGTTAGTAACGCCTAGGATCCATAGAAGAGACTTTTTCAACTACTTGGCGTTTCAAAATTGAGGTTCCCCAGTAACAAGGCACCAGCGGACAAAACGCTCCCCCGTGTAGTTGGTGGGAGAAAAGTCCTTTAAACCTGGAAAGAACTTGCAGTCTTACAAAGATTACATTGGAATCCGTGCGTTTCTTTTTCCCCTAGGAGGGCAGATATGTCTCCAAAAGTTTTGGTATAAGTTATGGCTCAGATTTCAAAATGCAAACAGATGTTGCTGAAGCATCCGATAGGGCTACTCCCCTTTTATTTCCATTAAGTCCTGGCGACTCTGAGTTTATTTTGTGTCCCAAGTCTGTCAAGGGCAAAAAAAACCCCATACCCCTTGGATGCAAACATTCACAAAAATGTAAAAAACAAACAAACAAAAAACACTTTTGGAGTTTCCCAAAGTGGCTTGGCGGCGTACGAGGTCAGGTCGTTCGGAGAATGGGCGCTGGTTAGGACAAGAGCGTCCAGAGATCTCCGCCTTTGGGCTCCTGAGGTTCCCACAGGCTCCCACTTAGCGGTCCCGGGGGCGGGGGCGGGGGCTGGGCTGTCACGGCGGGAAGGAGCCCGGCCGCGGCGGCCTCGGTGTCCGGGGAGGGGAGCAGCGGGCGCACTGGCCGCTCGGACCTCGGAGCCGCGGGCTTAGCGGACGGCCGGGCCGGAGCTCCGGACGCGCGGCCGGGGCTTCCACCCGCACCCTCCCTGGCGGCGCCAGTCTTTGGAATCTGGCGTCTCGGCCACTTCGCCCGTCGGGGTGGTGGGGGGCGGGGGCGGGCGCGGGGTGGCCGCCATACCGGGCCGAATGGGGCTGGGGAAAGAACTAGGCGGAGCTCGGCCGCAGGACCGGCGCCCTCGTGGAAGGACAGCAGAAGAGATCCGTTTCACCCGATCGCTCCCCAGCCTGGGGGTCTCGGGAAACACGCGGTAATTTACCCCCAAGAACCCCGCCCCTCTGGGAGAGGAGGAGAGGCTGCGAGGCTGCCGGGGCGGTTTGAGGACCAGGCCCGGCTGGGAAGACTCCAACCTTCACCTCCCCGGTCCCCGATCCCGCTTCCCGCCGTCTCCCGGCGTCGCCACGTCAGGCGGCCCACTGGGCCCGGTCTCGCCCCACGCCCGCACCGCCCCCCAGGGGGTGCTCTCACTGTGCAGCGAGTCCCTCCGCTGCCTCCTCCCAGCCCAAAATGGCGGCGGCGGCCACCGAGCCTTCTCGTCGCCTTCCTCTAGGAGCGGGGATCCCTCCGCGCCCACAGCCCCGCCCCTCTCAGCCGGGCCTACTTTCCGCCTCGTAAAGCCGAACGCCATCAATGAACTCTTTAATTGAGCTCGGAAGGCGCATCCGGTTGTGCTTCCGCACGGCCAGCGTTGACACAGTGACAGGCGAGTTGACCAATGAGAGAAGGCAGAGGTGAGCGCGGGACGACTCCCGCGCAAGGGTAGATGGGATTTGGAGTTCTCGTGGTCGCTGTTGACGTGACAGGAGCTTGGGTCGCCTTCCAAGGCTAGGAGAACTACAATCCCCAGCAGGTACCGCGCCGTAAGGGCTGTTCCCCCTCCCCCCCGCCCTTCCTCCCCGCCCCCCAACCTTAGAGCCTGAGCGGCTTGACCCGGGAGAGCTGCTGCAACTGCAGCAGGAGGCAGGGCTGAGGCGCTGGGAATTGCAGGCCGACGGTTGCACAAAAAGACAACAGATGTAGTCGGTGTGCATAGCCCTTGCCCTTGACAACAAATAGGTCAGTTCCGCCTTTGCAAAACCTTCTTTCCCCGACCATTTCCTCTCTTCTAATGAATCCATCCTTATCACATTTGGGTTTCCTTCCCGGCTCCCTATAATGTGAAGCCCCTTTCCTCTGTTTCCCACCCTCATAGGAAGTAAGGAGGCCGGCCATGCCCTGTAGCTGAAAAGGCCTCAGTCCCAGACTCAGCTCAGGCCTCAGACGTGTTTCTTGAGGCATTGACTTCTGGAGCCCAGCCTGGGTAGGGGTGAGGGGGGCTGCAGTTAAGAGGGAGGCCTCTGGAAAGGACCCCCCCTCTGGTTGGGAGCCACGGACCCAATCCACTCTGAGTCTCTCCAGGTCATCGCTGTGGGCAGAGTGGCCTCCCCAGGCAGTCTTCTTTCCCACGTTGGTTGTTGGGGGAACAAAGCTCAGTCCTGCTTTACTAGTTGCCAGCCTGGTCCTCAGTTGACTTCCAGGTGAGCAGCATAGGATGTAAGCCTGGCCCCGAGGCCTGAGAAACGGGGCTGGGAAGGTGGTTTCTTTATCCCCGTTTGGCCCCTCGCTGGCTGCACGTGTGAAACAGGGTGGAGGCTGCCTTCCGGGCCTTCCTTTGAAAACGAGGTTGTGCAGGTCTGGTGCTACAAAATGGCTGCTGTTACCTTGGTAAAAATAAATAAATAAATAAAAAAAATCCAGGGCTGCCAGTCTCCCTCAGACTTCTCCTTCAGGACTCAGGTTTCTTTTTTTTTCTTTTTTTCTTTTTTTAATATATATTTTATTGATTTTGTACAGAGAGGAAGGGAGAGAGATAGTTAGAAACATCGATGAGAGAGAGTCATCGATCAGCTGCCTCTGCCTCTTGCACACCCCCTACTGGGGATATGCCCGCAACCAAGGTACATGCCCTTGACCGGAATCGAACCCGGGAACCTTCAGTCCCCAAGCCGACGCTCTATCCATTGAGCCAAACCGGTTTCGGCAGGACTCAGGTTTCTGTTGTTGTTTACAGCAGGTGTCACTAGTTAAAGGCGTCTGCGGGGAAATTTGGAGCAGAAGAAGGTGGCCCCTCTGAATCGACCAATTAATACAGAGGGATCAGCAGCCATGGAGGAGGCCAAGGTAAGCCTCGCCCTCCCGATGCCCGGAATGCCCTCCATGTGGATTGTGCCGTCGGGGAATCCTGGTTTCTTGTCTCGGGTGTGTTGGCAGTCTTGGGAAAATCGATATTTTTAAATGAGTTCCTACTGTGCGCTGAGGAATATGGCAGATGCGGAATCGGTGCTCTCTCATGACATCCCGGAAGCCCTTCAGGAGAGCACTTATTATTCCCATTTCACAGAAGCTAAGGTTCTTTTTTAAAAATATGTTTGTTTGTTTGTTTGTTTTTGTCTTTTTTTTTTTTTTTAATATATTTTATTGTTTTTGTACAGAGAGGAAGGGAGAGAGATAGAGAGCTAGAAACGTCGATGAGAGAGAGTCATCGATCAGCTGCCTCTTGCACACCCCCTACTGGGGATATGCCCGCAACCAAGGTACATGCCCTTGACCGGAATCGAACCCGGGACCCCTCAGTCCCCAAGCCGACGCTCTATCCATTGAGCCAAACCGGTCTCGGCTGTTTGTTTTTGTCTTAACCAGGTTGGCTTAGTGCATAGAGTGTTGGCCTGTGGACTGAAGGGGTCCAGGTTTGATTCTGGTCAAGGGTACATGGCGGGTTTGTGGGCTCAATCCCCAGTGGGGGGGGTGCAAGAGGCAGCCAATCAATGATTTTCTCTCATCATTGATGTTTCTATCTCTCTCTCCCTCTCTTTCCCTGTCTGAAATCAATTTTAAAAATACATATAAAAACTATACATATGCTTATTGATTTCAGAGAGGGAGAGAGAGATAGAAGCATCAGTGATGAGAGAGAATCATTGATCGGCTGCCTCATGCACACCCCACTCTGGGGATGGGGCCCGCAATCGGGGCATGTTCCCTGATCGGAATCAAGCCATGGCCTCCTGGCTCACAGGTCGACCGACGCTCACCTACTGAGCCATGCGGGTGGGCCACAGAAGTTAAGGTTCTAAGAACTGAAATACCTTTTTTAGAATCATGCCATCAGCATTCAGCTGATCCAGGGTTTAAACTTAGGGCCTTCTGACAACAGAACCCTGCCTTGTCCAGGCTGAGAACCAAGTCTAAAGCAGGGGAAAGAGCTTGAGCAATTGGTTCATAATTTGGGATGTGCTGGGGGATAAGATGCCACCCAGGAGAGACAGATTGTATGAAGCCCTTAGAATGTCACCTGATTTGGCAACAGGAGCCCAGCCCTCCCAGACCGTGTTCTCTCCCTCTCTCTCTCTCTCTCTCTCCCTCCCTCTCTCTCTCTCTCTCTCTCTCTCTCTGCCCCCACCTTGCACATTCTTCTCCCCTAGTCCACAACTCGTTGTAGCTGAGAAGAGAACTCAGCTCCGCTGACTCACCCTCTCGAGCCACTTCGTGTTTCCTGGATTTAATTTGGACTTCATGACATGCCAGGGCTGGAAGGTTCAGAGAGGGCAAATGACTCACCCAGGTCACACAGCTTACCTGCAGTAGTGGTAATGGTAGCAGAGGAACACGCCTTTAGGAGGGAGGCAGCCTGGGGGGCTGAGGGGCAGGGCTGATTTGGGTGAGGGGAAAGATCATAGGGAGCTTTGGCTGAGTGTGGGGGGGCAGAGTGGGGGAGATAGGTGTTTTGTTTTATGCACACAAAAACAAGCCACCTGCCTTAAGAGTTCCCAGCGGACTGCCTCTTTCAGGGTGGGACCGAGCTGTCTCATTTGACCTAAAACACTGATGAAGACAGGACAGTCACTCTTTTTTTAAAATATATTTTATTGATTTTTTACAGAGAGGAAGGGAGAGGGATAGAGAGCCAGAAACATTGATGAGAGAGAAACATCAACCAGCCGCCTCCTGCACACCCCCCACCAGGGATGTGCCCGCAACCAAGGTACATGCCTTTGACCAGAACTTAACCCAGGACCCTTTGGTCCGTAGGCCGACGCTCCAACCACTGAGCCAAACCGGTTTCTGCAGGGCAGTCACTCTTAATTGACCTCCCTGCAGGTGAATTTACACTACAGAACAGCACATGCATGCACACACACACTCCAGCATACCTCGTTTTCCCTGATGTTCTCTTTAGGGTCTCCCAAATGCCTGTAACACACCTTCAGCTCTTACAGGGCTACATTCACACCCCGATACATACCCTGTGCTTTCATGGACCCATGCCCGGTGGTCTCTGAACTGTGTTGCACATTATAAAACAACATCCCACGGTTGTAGTTATTATTAGACTTCCCCAAACCAAACTTAGAGATACTCATGCCCCACTCCCCACTCAGTGCCCCCACCCTCACCATGGCAGAGATAACCAGATGCCCGGAACACACACTCTCGTGACAGAATCCTTTGCGCATCTCAGATAAGTTCTAGAATTCTCTCAGCTGCGGACTAGAGTTTGACCTTTCCTCTGCCTAGCTAGGATCTCTTTCCTGCTCCTCGTGTGGACGAATACCAGCTCTGGCCTGGAATAAATGCCCTCCGTCTTCTTCACCCTAGAATGACAGAAAAGAGAATCTTGTGTCCCCGTATCTTTTGGAGCCCCCTCGTATGGGCTTCATGTCATGTAACATACATTTACTAAGTGCTTACCGTGGGCTGTACCCAGGGACATAGTGGTGAACTGGACAGACAAGTCACGTGCTTACAGGAGGAAGACAGATGGTAACATGCTAACCGTGATGTGTGATGTTAACTGTCACGTGATAGGGCGTTAGCAGGAAGGGGAAATGAGAGGGCTGCTTTATTTTATTTATTTTATTTTATCTTTATTATTATTATTATTATTATTATTTTTTTATTAAGAGAGGGCTGCTTTAGACAGGCTGGTCGGGAATGGCCTCTCTGAAGATGTGACGTTGGAACAAAGCCCTAAATAAAGGATGAAAAGAGCCGAAACCGGTTTGGCTCAGTGTAGAGCGTCGGTCTGCGGACTGAAAGGTCCCGGGTTCGATTCCGGTCAAGGGCATGTACCTTGGTTGCGGGCACATCCCCGGTGGGGGGTGTGCAGGAGGCAGCTGGTCGATGTTTCTCTCTCATTGACGTTTCTAGCTCTTTATCTCTCTCCCTTCCTCTCTGTAAAAAAATCAATAAAATATATTTTAAAAAATAAATAAATAAAGGATGAAAAGAGTCAGCTGTCCACCACCGCCAGTTTTGCTCAGTGGCCAGAGCATCGGCCTGCAGACTGAAGGGGCCTGGGTTCGATTTTGGTCAAGGGCACATACCTCAATAGCAGGCGCCTCCCTGGCCCGGGCCCTGGTTGGGGCTTGTGCAGGAGACAACCAATCGATGTGTCTCTCTCACATCAATACTTATGTCTTTCCCTCTCTCTTCCACTCTCTCTAAAAATCAATGGGAAAATATCCTCCAGTGAGAATTAAAAAAAAAAAAAAAAGTTAGCTATCCAAATACCTGGAGGCAGGATCAGCGACATAATTTGTGCAGCTCAGTGCAAAGGGCTCTTTTTTAAAAAATCAGTAAGAAGGCCCTGGCTAGTGTGGCTCAGTTGGTTGTAGGTTCAATTCCTGGTCGGAGCATGTACCTAGCTAGTGGGTTCAATCCTGGATTGGGGCAGGTCCGGAAGGCAAAGAATTGATGTTCTCTCTCACATCAATGTCTCCCCCTCCCCCTTCCTCTCTTTAAAATCCATAAGCATACCCTTGTGTAAGGATTTTTTTTTATTTTTATATTTTATTGATTTTTTTACAAAGAGGAAGGGAGAGGGATCGTTTTAGAAACATGGATGGGAGAGAAACATCGATTCAGCTGCCTCCTGCACACCTCCTTGGGGATGTGCCCGTAACCAAGGTACATGCCCTTGACCGGAATCGAACCTGGGACCCTTCAGTCCACAGGCCAACGCTCTATCCATTGAGCCAAACCGGTTTAGGGCTCCTTGTGTAAGGATTTTAAAAAAATATTAAGTTCAAGACATGACAGCAGAGCATTAAGCAAAGCATGGGGCTTTTTTGATGGGAGGCATTGAAATTGCAGCGTGAAATGCACAGGTGAAATCCCTGCTCTTGCCTAGTTTGCTTAGGGCCCATGGCGGGCAGACAGGAGGCAGGGAAGCCATGAACAAATGGCTGCAGAGGCTGAGAGCTACAGGTGGAGGTGGGGAGGGGGTGCCGAGGCAGCGAGGGATTCCAGGCACAGACTGGCTGTGACTCATCCTCCTCGTGTTCTCCCTTTAGGCCTCTGACTCTTCTAGGAGCCCGGAAACACCCCCTGAGCCCCACGACCCTGCCGGTTCCCTGCCCCCGACACCCCGGATGGAGAGCTACTCCGAGGAGGAAGATCCTTCCGGGGCTGGCGGTGGCCTGGGCGGCAACAGCAGGGGTCCCCGGACCCAGAACCCCAGGAGCCACTCCGCGGAGGCGGTGCTGGGCCGCAAGAAGCACCGCCGGCTGCCCTCCAAGCGCAAGCGGCACTGGCGGCCCTACCTGGAGCTGAGCTGGGACGAGAAGCAGCAGCGGGACGAGAGGCAGAGCCAGCGGGCCTCCCGGCTCCGGGAGGAGATGTTCGCCAAGGGCCAGGCCGTGGCGCCCTACAACACCACCCAGTTCCTGATGAACGACCGGAACCCCGAGGAGCCGGACCTGGACGTGCCCCGCGGGGCCTCCCACCCGGGCTCCAGCGAAGACAGCGAGGCGGAGGACAGGCGCCGGCCGGGCCAGGCTCCCGGCGAGTTCCAGCAGAGGGACTTCTCCGAGACCTACGAGCGCTTCCACACGGAGAGCCTGCAGGGCCGCAGCAAGCAGGAGCTGGTGCAGGACTACCTGGACCTGGAGCGGCGGCTGTCGCTGGCGGAGGAGGAGACCCGGCGGCTGCAGCAGCTGCAGGGCCGCGCCAGCCGCCAGTCCTGCCGCCAGGTGGAGGAGCTGGCAGCCGAGGTGGAGAGGCTGCGGACAGAGAACCAGCGGCTTCGGCAGGAGAACGAGATGTGGAATCAAGAGGGCGGCCTTGGCAACGGGGAGCCAGGCACCTAGGGGCGCCCCCTTGCCTGTTTAGCCCAAGGAGACAGTTCCAGTTCACACACATGTAGGCCCGCCGGGTCTCAAGGTGGCAGGTGGTGGATGAAGATCACTCCCAGCACCCCAGTGCCCCCTGACGACAGCTTGACTTCCACCTTGTCGTTTCCACAATTTGTTCTTTGATTGCATTTTTTGTTGTTGTTGTTGTTGTTAATTTCGGAGAGGAAGGGAGATGGGGAGAGAGAGAGAGAGAAACATCAATGGTGAGAATCATTGATCCACTGCCTCCTGCACGCCCCCTACTGGGGATCGAGCTCACAACCCAGGCATGTGACCCTGACCGGAATCCAACTCGGGACCATTCAGACCGCAGGCCAATGCTCTATCCACTGAGCCAACCCAGCTAGGGTGATGACATCTTATTTTTCACAAAGAAAATAAATGGTTTTGGTGAAATCAAATGCAGTGGCTGGGACTGGTTTCACTTGGGGCTCCGAGACTGAAGGCACATTCATCCCAGAAAGGCTTGGGACTTGGGGTCCTGGTGCGCCCGTTCCCCGAGCCTGGGAGGACAGCAGATTCCTGCACTGGGGTCCTATCGAGATGTCCAGGAGGCCTGAGTGCTGCCCTGTGTGTTGGGGAGCAGTCAGACTGCTCTGAAGGTTTCATAGAGGGGGGTGTAGAGGTGGGAGGGGGCTCGGTCAGGAGCCCCTGGGTCCAGCCAGAACTTAAGCTGCGGGATCGCTGGGAGGAGCTGGGAGCTTCCCCAGAGGAGAGAGGGCCCAAGTCCAGGGGTTCCTGCAGGATGTGTCCCCAGGTTCCCCGTGTTCTCCCTGTCTCCCCCACGGTCCCGGGGGCTGGGCTAGGTGAGGTAGGGGTGCCTTGTGTCTCCTTGTCCCGCATAGCCCCTACCCCCCACACCTGGCAGCCAAGGGGAGGGCACTTGCAAGCAAGCATGCAGAGGAAGTTTCTCCTCGAGGAGGACAGTGAATGGATCCTAGCGGGGCTGTGGCCCGCCTTTCCTGGAGCAGCCTGCTCCTCTGAGCCCAATCCCCGGCATGGTGACCCCCCTCCCCCGCCCTGGGGAGCCCCTCACCTATCTGCACGTACAGACAGCTGCGTCAGCCTGGAGAGGCAGATGCCTCCAGCATGCCAGCCGTCCTGGGCTCTGAGGTGAGCTCACACACCCCCGCTAGATGGAAAGGCAGATGAACCCTGTGTGTTGCCAGGACAACTTTCGTTTCTGCCCCGCCGCTCCCAGGCCTCACCAGAACCTTCTACAGTGAAGCAAGGCTGAGAACAGATTCTAGGAAAGGGTGGGATTCAAGAGAATAGAATGAAATCTTCCATCCCTGCAGGGTCTGCCCCTAGGACTCTGGCCAAAGGTGTCAGTCCCCTTCCCTATACAGAGGCATGACCGTCCCACTGTGCAGATGGGAAACCCAAGCCTTAGAGAGTGACCTTTGGGACTTCAGAATGCTGATCCAAGGCCTGCCTTCCCCTGTGGGTTAGCAGCCAGGGACTCGGCCCGGCCGGCTGGGTGGCCTCTCTGCAGGCCGCATTCCTCAGCAGCCTGGGGGAGAGGGGAGGGGCAAGGCCATGGGCCAGGACCGAGGGTGTGTACCTGGAGGGTGTGTACCTGGAGGGTGTGTGTGTGGGGGGGATGGGCGTGGGGGTGTGTCAGGAGATGGCTGGGGCCAGCTGTCCCTGAGTAGACAAGATCTCACAGGGGAGGGGCAGGTGAGAAGTTCAGCCCTTCTTGGCCCAGAGCTGAGGAGCTTGGAGACAGGAAAGCTGCCAGCTGGCCCTCTCTACCCCCAACACACACACACACACACACACACACACACATTCCCCGCACCCCAAACACACAAACACACACACACTCCCCATACCCTAAACACACACACAGACACACACACACACACACACACACACACACACACACATTCCCCGCACCCCAAACACACAAACACACACACACTCCCCATACCCCAAACACACAGATACACACACACACACACACACACACACTCCCTGCACCCCAAACACACACACACACACTCCCCATACCCTAAACACACTCACAGACACACACACACACACACACACACACACTCCCTGCACCACAAACACACACACACACACACACACACTCCCCATACCCCAAACACACTCACAGACACACACACACACACACACACTCCCCGCACCCCAAACACACACACACACACACTCCCCATACCCCAAACACACTCACAGACACACACACACACACACACACACACTCCCTGCACCCCAAACACACACACACACACTCCCCATACCCCAAACACACTCACAGACACACACACACACACACACACACAGGACTGTACCCAGGTGGGTTAATATTCCCAAGGTGGCCCTGGCCTGTATGACTGTTGATTGGGCATGATCCTGTGCACTGAAAGGTTGCCAGTTCAATTCCCAGTCAGCACACATGCCCGGGTTGCAGACTCAATCAATGTTTCTCTCTCTCTCTCTCTCACTCTCTCTCTCTCTCTCTCAATCAATCAATCAATAAAAATATGTGTTTTTTTTTAAAGGGGGGGCAGGATGGGGCAAGATGAAAACGAAGGAAAGGGTGAGAGTTGGGAAAGTGTCAGGAGGAGCCGGAAGGCATTGGTGAAGAAGTCGATGTCGCCCCCCTCCCCCCATCTGGTTCCCTGACCTCAGCGCCCTCCCACCAGTGGAGCTGGGGTCTCCAGGCTCAGCTCTGGGGAGAGGCGGCTCGGCTACAGCTGGCGGCCCGGCACAGTTCATTGTGCCTCCCCCCCTTCCCTCTCCTCTGGTCCTGAGGCCTTAGGGTTCCCTACCCACCACAGTGATGTTAGCTCCAATCTACAGCCCCCCGTCTCCACCTCCACCCCACCTCCCTTCCCTTCCTCCGGCCTTTCCAGAGCAGTGCCCAGTGCCCTTCTCTCCCGTGTCCATTTGCTCTCCGGGACCTTCTTGGTCACCTGGGCCCGGGGAGGGAGGCCCAGGAGGCAGGTGTCTCGTCAGAGGGATTACAGAAGCTTCCCACCTCTCACACCCTGGACTGGGGTCCTCATTTCTTCCCCATCCAAGACCCCCACCTCAGGTGGAGACTCCTGTGTTCAGCCGAAACCGGTTTCCTCAGTGGATAGAGCGTCGGCCTGCGGACTGAAAGGTCCCAGGTTCGATACCTTGGTTGTGTTTCTCATCGATGTTTCTAACTCTCTATCCCTCTCTCTTCCTCTCTGTAAAAAATCAATAAAAAATATTTAAAAAAGAAAGAAAGAAAGAAAGAAACTCCTGTGTCCAGAGGAGTAGGGCCAGGGAATGAGGAGAGGCAGTGAGGTGGACAATGGGGCTGAGCGGGCGGGAAGAAGCTGCCAGGAAGCGGGGAAGGGGTCAGGGTGAAGTAATTCAGTTCATGAGGAAAGAGGGTGGCCAGGTCCCATGGCCTCTATTGGGTGCAGGCAAGGACGGCGCTGTCCCTTTAAGTGGGGGTGCCAGTCAATGCCCTCCCCCAGCCAACCCAATTCCTGGGCACACTGAGCATGTGCAGGAGCTGTGCAAGTGGAGGGGAGGGAAGCAGAGGGATGGATTCCGGAGGGGACTCCTCAACCCCCTACTTCCTGTAGCTGCCCCACTCTCCTTCCTGGGTCTGACAAAGAGGCCATGGTGCTCCCCCAGGTTCTGCTCCCATCACCTTCCCCCATCCCAGACCCTAGTGGGTGCTGCCTGCAAGGAGCCCTAGAGCCTGCAAGGGTGTGATGGGCAGGCCCTCTCTGCCCTGGGGATTCTTGGCAGCTCCCCTGCAGCGCAGAGGTGGCACACACCTGCCCCAGTGACACCCTCACTTCCCTGGTGTGGGCGGCGGACAATCTTCCTATTGCTTAACGTGTTTGCTCTCATTCCACTGGTGCCAGAGGTCTTAAAAGGCCCATGCACCCGCGATGACGCTCTGCTCTGAGAATTAAAAACAGCTAAAGAGAGGAGGTCCCTGCCCCCACCCCCAGGAGCTTCCAGTCTAAAGTCTGAGGGAAAGCCAACAGCTGAGGCGGAGTGGAGACAGCCAAGTCCTCTTCCCGCCTCATTCCTCAGCCCCTCCTTCACCTTCCCTCCCCTACCTGGACTTCCCACTCCTCTTAGTCCTTTAATCTCTCAGCTACAGGCAGCTGGTCAATGTTTCTCTCTCATCGACGTTTCTAGCTCTCTGTGGAAAATCAATAAAATATATATTTTAAAAATAAATAAATAAGGGTACAGGTCCTGGCCGGGTAACTCAGTTGGTTAGACGGTCGTCCTGATACACCAAGGTTGCAGGTTCTCCTGCCGGAATCGAACCCGGGACCCCTCAGTCCCCAGAGCGACACTATCCACTGAGCCAAACCAGTGGGAGAACCAGGGGAGCACCATGGCCTCCCTCCCCGGGCCCAGGTGACCAAGAAGGTCCCAGAGAGCAAAATGGACACGGGAGAGAGAGATTTATTTTATTACTATTGTGTAATTTATTGATTTGAGGAAGGGAGGGAGAGAGAAACATTGATTTGTTTTTCCACGTATTTATGCCTTCATTGTGGTAGATTCTTGTATGTATCCTGACAAGGATGGAAACCTGCAACCTTGGTGTATCAGGACGACCGTCTAACCAACTGAGTTACCCGGCCAGGACCTGTACCCTTATTTATTTATTTTTAAAATATATATTTTATTGATTTTCCACAGAGAGCTAGAAACGTCGATGAGAGAAACATTGACCAGCTGCCTCCTGCACACCCCCTGTCGGGGATGTGCCCACAACCAATGTACATGCCCTTGACCGGAATCGAACCCGGGACCCTTCAGTCCCCAGAGCGACACTATCCACTGAGCCAAACCAGTTTCAGCTGTACCCTTATTTTTATTTTTTATTATTATTTTTTAATATATATATTTTATTGATTTTTTACAGAGAGGAAGAGAGAGGAATAGAGAGCTAGAAACGTCGATGAGAGAGAAACATCGACCAGCTGCCTCTTGCACACCCCCTACCAGGGATGTGCCGGCAACCAAGGTACATGCCCTTGACCGGAATCGAACCCAGGACCTTTCAGTCCGCAGACCGATGCTCTACCACTGAGCCGAACTGGTTTCGGCTGTACCCTTATTTTTAATTGAGGTGAAATTCACCCAACGTGAAATTCACCATTTTAAAGCAAATAATTTCGTGGCATTAAGTACATTGACAGTGTGTGCAACTGCCGCCTCTGTCTAGTTCCAACAGTGTCACCCCCAAAGGAAACCCATACCTACAAAGCAGTTACTCCCATTCCTGC